CTGGATTTCCTCCTGGCTGACCTACCAGAGAAAGGAAGTTTTCCTTTTTTTCCTTCTTCTTCCACTTTTTTTGTATCATATAAAGTGACCAGAAGAAGAATCTTGTAAGTTGCATACATGGAGCGTTCAGATTTTCCTCTCCAGTAGGATTGACAAGAAAATGGAGGACACAAGGACATCTTGTCTGGCTGTTGTGGGGAGTCCTCAATAAGATTTTTGAAGGCAGAGGTGACTCATGAATCGACTGTTCACATGGCTGCTGCCATCCATTGTCAAGCAAGCCAGGATCAATGATCAGATTGTTCCAGACTTGACATTGTCTGGCCTCAGAGGTCAGCAGTGAGCCCCAGAACACATCATAATTTACCCAAGGGGAAGGAAGAGAGGGAGAGCTCTCACAAGCAGGCATCTGCAGCTCCAGCCCAACAGTGAGCTCAAACAGTAGTTGATGTGACTTGTCTCGATGTGTCTGAAGATATCACCCAGGTCCAAAACAAAACAAGTCCTGTGTCTCCTCTTGGAAGCTTCACACTCCCCAGGAGTGGAGGATTTGTGGGTGGGCTGCTGTAATGGTGTTGAGGATGTCATTGCACATCACAGACATCTTAGCAGGAGGTGGAAAGAGCAGAACCGTGGACTGGTGGTTTCAGAAATTTTGCCAAATGGCTCCTGTTTCGCTGAAGAGTTTACCAGCTGTGGGATCGGTTCAACTTCTCACAACTTCTCAGTCACCTCCAAATGCTTACTGCCTTGGCATGAGAAGCTGGTGAGGTGGCCTTCATCTCTCCCCGCTTGACGTCAGTGAGGGAGTTGTTCCCTGTGGCTGTCTTATGTGAAATAATTCAGCATTCGTACTTCAATTAAAATTCACAGGTATATATTATTAAATGGCACTGACTCATTCCGTGGCTTGTTTTCAGCTGAATGAGAGCCAAAAACGTAAACTAAAATAAAATAAACTTATCTCTGTGTGTGAATGATGAAAAATACTCTTAAAACTAGGATTTCATAAATAATAATAATAATAAAAAAAAAACTAGGATTTCCTTGTCAGAGGACCAGGCAGTAAATAAAGAAGGCACTTCACATATAAAGGTATTTCTCTGCTGTCTGGCAGTCTCTTATAAACAAGGAATTCTAAAGGAATTCTATGTTCAAGATTACTTCCGTCTTTGAGGGAGAAATAGAGGACACTTGACCAGACTCTTCTTCCTCTTTGTGAGCATAAAAGCTATACTGAGAATTAGGTTTGTTTCAGAAATGAGGCACTAGTAGCTTACACTTCAAATCCTAGTGACTCTGGAAGCTGAGATCTGAGGACTGTAATTCAAAACTAGCCTAAGCAGAAAAATCTGAGAGTTTTAACTCCAATTAACCGCCAAAAAGCTGGTAGGAGAGGTGTAGCTCAAGTGGTTGAGCACTTGCCTCAAAGAAAAGAGTACAAGGCACTGAGTTTAAGCTCCAGTACTAGCACGCACATGCACACACCCAAAACAGAGCCTTATTAAATTGAATTATGCAACTCATATTCAATCTATCACAGGAGAGGAAGTAAGTATATCATCATACATTACAGGAAAACATAAAGGAACTTGCTTGATCTCAGAAAACAAAACTTACTCTTCAATTATTTCATATTCAACATGCTTAGGAGGATGAAGAAAAACCCTGGTTCTTTTTGAAACTCCTCTTTGGCTCAAAATACCATGCTTACAGTTCAGACGTGTTTTGAGCTGTGACCACAGGTGGTCACTGAACTCCTTTCCAAGTTCTTTCCTTCTTACAATAGAGGCCAGGCCCAGAGCTCCCTTTGACACCCATGTGGGAACATGCATTTAACACAATAACAAAGAACAAAAACTTTGTGAATGGTAGAACTTCTTTTACACAAGGCCAGAACAGCCATGGAAACCAGCATTCATTTAGTAAGTGATACAGCTGAAGAATGGTAGTTGTACAAGCAGGGCTTGTTCAGGGCTTTCTGCAGTTACCTCTTCTGTGTGAACTGGAAAAGAGTGCCCCTTCGGGACAGACACAGTAGTGCAAACCTATGGGTTATCTTTGGCCAAATAGCAAAAAAGGAAGCCTTGTGCTTAGGTTCTAGTCCCCAAGAGCCTTCCCCAGACATTCTTACATAAGCATATCCAACAGCCTGAGCTGTATCTCTGCTTCTCCCTGCTCTAAGTCTGTAAAGCTTAGGATTACTCATCCTTGGGCCTCCATTCTTAACCAAAGGGAAAGATGGAACTGAATTGTGGTTTCTGTGGTTTTCTTCAGTTCTCAAAGCCACAAGAAAACACCATGAGCTTTTCCAAAGGACACTTTAACATATAGATTGTGATTTCTGAGTCTGATTTTTTTAAGTCATCTGCTGGCACTCCCTAAATATTTGAATGAAATTATGTATGGCTTGATGTGAGAGAGATTAACAACTCAATGCTCTGCTCCATGCATGATGTTCTAGGTGTAAAGCAACGGGATTAACCAGCCCAACAGGAATCTCTACTCTGTGCTGTCAGCAAATGACACAAGATGTGAATCTCACACAGCAGCGTCCACCGGAGTCTTTATCCACTTTCCGTGGGACCGCACGTCAGACTCAGCTGAAGTTGCTGCTCCCAGAGTGTGCATTGCACCCAGGAAGTAAGAACTGCATGGAGCCAACGTGTGTTTTCTTTGTTGATGCCTTGTTGCCAGAAAACAGAAATGCGATCCTTGCCCAGATCTTCCTACTGGCACTTCTGAGTGTCAGTTAGTACTTCATAGCAGAACAAATAAATAACAATCTACTTCAAGTCTCAAGAACTCTGAGTCCTAAAATTGGGTTTCAAGTTTCATAATCATTTACATGTGGGATGAACCCATTCACACGTCTCTAAACATTAGCAGAAAGAATGTTGGCTGTATCTTTTAACCATTTCTATGATTACTATCACTTTAGTTTGTTTTTTGTTTTGTATCTTGAGCAAGAAAGGGGTTCTAGAAATATTTATAATAACCAATGATGTCATTTTTTTAGAAAAATTCAAAGCCCAGAAAGGGACAGAGACTAGCTCCAGGTCATCCAGCAGGGTAAATCTGATAGGGCGGGGATTAGTATCTAATGCCCTTTCCACTCTTCCAAGATGGAAATGTAACCAGGAGGGTTTGGTGGAAAGCAGATGGCACAAAAATCACTGTAACTGCAATTTTCAGTCTCAATGGGTAAACACTGTTACCATTCATTGAGATCACACTTGACAGAAAGTAAATCTTACCAGTGCCCATCAGGAGGTAAGCCCCATCTCCCATGGTTCAGGTAGCACAAGTTCCCAGAGGCCAGAGAAATCCCAGAAGACAGTGAGTGATGTCCCCAGCAAGGGACTGGGTCTGCTCCATGCTGGGACAGAGAATCAGACACCCAGTTGATGATCAGATCAACCCTTGGCTTTTTTAACCACGGTCAAAGCAGGGTTTTCATGTTCTTGGAGCCTCTATAATGGTGAGCAAAATAGTCATGACCTACCATTGCTCCTGGATTGTCCAGAGCGCCTGTATGATCTCAAAACCAGTATCCCAACATACAAAGGAGACGTTCTGGGGAACAGAAATGAAAGCAGATCTCAAAGTAAGAGTGTGTGTGTTGTTGTTTTAATTAAATAATTCAGACACAAGCACGGGTCTGTCCGCTGGATAGCAGCAATGAGGAGGAAACACTGAGATACAGGCAGAGATGGCTGGAATCAGACTCTTTTCTTTCAAAGTACAACATGTTCCTCTTTCCGGTGATAGGCTCTCTCTGGCAGCCAGACGGGGTTAAAGATTCTCTTCTGAAGCCACTAGAGACCCATTCTGTTTCAGCGTTTCTATAGTTGTTGTTGTTTTGTTTCACTTTGCTCTTTTCTTGGAGGCAGGGCTTGCTCTATAACTCAGACTGGCCTCAAACTCATCTCGCTAAGTGCTGGGATTATAGGCGTGAACCACCATGCCCGGTCTATATGATACAACTCCATATAGTCCTTTCCATCGCACAGTGGAGAAGAATGGCAACTTCCAGTGTATGTTTATTGTCTGGGCTTCCCTGTTTCACACAGGACTCATCTGAGAGGTGCCTTCCTAGAGCCTGGGCAGGGCGGCGGGGGGGAGGAGAGGGGAGCTTCTGTCTTCTCAATATCTGAGGCAGTGCAGACTCTGCCTGAAGCTCCAAAGACCCGAAGCTGAGCTGATCCTGGAGGATCCAAGTGTATGAAGTGTACGACTGTCAGCCCCAGAAAGAATATGGAGGAGAGGCCCTGAGCCACACAGGCCTTATGAGCCAAGCACACAGCTGTGCCCTTGCTAAGAACCAGCTGAGGTACTGAGATGTTGGATGTGCAGCAAATTAATTGTGTTTAATGTGTGTGTGTGTTGATGTGTGTGGTATGTGCGGTGTGTGTGTTGTATGTGTATGTGTGTTTGCATATGTGCATTTGTATGTGTATACAGTATTGTTGTGGAATATTTGTATATTTATTTTGATGTAGTAGGTGTGGTGGTATTTGTGTGTGTGTGTTTGCTTGTGTGTGGTGTCTATGGTATGTATGTGCTATGTGTCTGCTTATGTGGCATATGTGCAGATAGTGTGTGTCTGTGTGGCACACATGTTTCTGTGTTCTCTGTGATGAATGTGAGTATAACATCTATGTGGTGTGTTTCTGTTTGCATGTTGTATGATATGTGAGTGTTCATGTGTGGGTAGTGTTATGTGCTTGCATGAGTGTGTGTGTGTGTGTGTGTGTGTGTGTGTGTGTGTGTGTGTGTGTGTGTGTTTGGAGTATAGAGAAGTGACTGGGCTTGGAGAGATGAACTAGCGCGCTAATGGACACCAAGTGGTACAGGAGCACAGTTTCGGCAGAAGAATGGAGGTTCTGGTGACTCCTAGTATCCGGTTAACTTATACCATGGCTCTGTACAAAAATAAAACAGTTCTTCTAAGATTAACAATTTAAATAAATATCTGATAGAACTTTCTTTCCCGCTTGTTTATAGCTCATCTCTGGGGTTGATATTCAGTTCATGCTTCCCTTGCTGTTCCCGGTCCAGGATGGCGATCACTTCATCTGCCTGTATTCGCTCCTGCAAACAACAACAACAAAAAGACAAGGGACACATTTGTGTTACCAGCAGGATGATGATCAGTCTCCTCACAGATGCTTTCTGAACACTTCCAGGCAGCCATCTTGGCATGGAGGGTTGATAAACCTAGCCAAGGATTCAACGGACTTCATCCCCAGACTGGTGTCTTCTGCAGACGTCCCTATGTTCTGAAACCATTACCCTCCAAGATTCCTTTCCTGCAGCCAGCTCTCCTGTTGAATGAGCTCCTTGCTAATTCACGGTCCCCTCAGCTTCTCCAGCATCATGCAATGTTCAGAGGCATGCATCCTTCACCACATGTACCCTTCTACACCCATACGCCTCTTCTGCTCTTCCTATTTCTAGGTAAACACCTCTACACTGCTCACCCATTTGTCTTGAAAAAGCCATGGTTTCTTGAGCATGTGGTGCGTCATTGGCTGGCTTCTGTCCCTTCTGCCAAATTTTCTCACCATTGGCACTACTGACATTTTAGTAGTGCCAGGTAATTTCTTTATGGGGTGAGATGGGGGTCCTCTGTTTTCTTAGGGTGTTAAGCAACATCTCTGGCCTCTACTTACTGCAGGACACGAAACAGTAACACCAATGGCTAAGTTGTGACAGCTAAAAATGTCTCCAGATATTGCCACACGTCCCCTAGGGGGCAGTGTGTCCTCTCCTGAGTACCAGTGGTTGAGGTGGTCAGCATCGTGTAACTCAGGACTTCAGATGTCCCCAGATTGCTGGATTCTTCCTTCCTATCCCTGTCCTTGGTGGATCTGCGTGAATGAGCCAAATGAGCTGCCTCTGCATACCCAGCCTCCGGAGGTCCAGTTCCTCCACTTCTACACTGTGATCCAGCTTTGCACACCTCCCACCTGCTCCGTCACCTTTCTTGTCTGAGTCCATGTGGCTAGCTAGAATAATCCTTTGGATCCAGAGGTTGCTCCGACTATGGGAATCTCTGGGGGAGGCCCAAAGGCCCTGCACCATTTAGAATAAAATTCACCTTAAAAACAATTTTGGCCGCGCTGGGGTTTGATTGATAATCTCACACGTGCTAAGCAAGTGTTGACCACTGGAGCCACATCTCCAGCCACATCTCCAGCCCTTTTTACTTTTAATTGTTTTCCAGACGAGATCTTGTATTTTCTGCTCAGGGCCAGATTCTCCTACTTACACTTTTTGTTGTTGTTGTTTTGGTTTTTAGGTCCAAGACCAGGACTCAAATTTGGTACCTGACACTTCTGCTCATTGGCAGCTGAGCCACTTCTCCAAGCCCTTATACTTCCTATGTGGCTAAGATCACAAGTGTGAACCACCATATCCTGTTTGTCTGCTTGTTTGTTGTTTGTTGTTGTTTTGGTAGGTCATGGGGTTTGAACTTGGGGCTTCAGTGCTGTCTCTGAGCTCTTTTGCTCAAGCTTAGTGCTCTACTACTTTGAGCCACAGTGGCACTTCCAATTTTCTGGGGGTTAATTGGAGATAAGAGTCTCACAAATTTTCCTGCCCAGGCTGGCTTTGAATCACGATCCTTAGATCTCAACCTCCTGAGTAGCTAGGATTGTTGGTGTGGGGCATTAGTGTCCCACTTCATACTTTGCTTGTTGGTTGAGACATGGTCTAACTAACTTCTTAATTGGCCTGTTCTCAAGTCATGAGTATCTGGGGTTTCATATGTGCCCTACCAGTCTGGCTTGAAATTCACATTTCTTAATGAACCTATATAATGGGATGCCTGCCCCTTCTGCACTTTCTTTCCATATCACTCTCATCTGCACACACATTCAGACAGTCTGGCCTGCTCTACATCTTGTGGATTGTATTCCTGTCTGCTAGGCATTGAATTGAAGATGTTGCACCGGATAAGCTCTCATTTTAACACTCAGTCAGTCACACACTACTCTCTCCCTCCTTTCTTCTTCTTCCCTCCTTTCCTTCATTTTTGGATTGTATGGCAGTACTGGGATTTGAACTTGAGGCCCAGCAAGCACAGAACCTTTCAAGCCACACTCTCAAACCTTTGTGCTGAGAGTTTATTTTTCAGATATGGTTTCAGGTTTTTGCTAAGGGACATGCTCAGACTTAAAGCCTATGTAGCTGGATTAAAATGTACACCACCACGCCTTGGTGTGAGATAGAGGTCTTGCTTACTTTTTGCCCATTTGGGCACTGAACTATAATCCTCCTATATCTGCCTCTGAAGTAGCTGAGATTGTAGAAGTGAGATTCTGTAGCTGTGTTTTGTTTTATTGTCCACACATTACTTATGACTCTCAGAAAATCTCTGAATTATTGATATTCTTACTTATTTGTTATCTGTCTCTTTCCTCTACAACGTTAGCTCCAAAATAGTAAGGAATTTTATTTTCTTAGTCGCTGCCGTATTTCTAGTGCCTACAAAGGCTACTGACATTTTGCAAGGGCTCCACTGTATTGATGACATTATACTGATTCCTGTCTTTGAAAATGCCTCTTCCTAAACAATGTAACTCATCCTGTAAAGCTTATTTCAAATGCTATTTGCTACAGCCAAATTTTACTTTGGATTTTACTTTTTTGGCCCTGGATTAACCCTCCTCAAAACCAGGGGTTATTTCTTATTCATTTCCTCTCCCTCACTGGTGGTCTCCAGCACAGAAGGTACCATTGAAGATGATCTTGACGCAATAACAACAATAAGAACCAACATGCAAAATAATAGGAAACAAAATTTTCATGCCTAAAATCATGCCCGATGTTATTGCAAGAAAACGAGGAGAACAATTTCAATACTGAACAAATTGGCACACATGAAAAGATTTCATATCTGATAACCTCAGGAAGCTATCACAACCTAGCTATGTAGGAGGCGGAGACATAGAGGTTTACAGTTTAAAGCTAGTCCTGGCAGAAAAGTCTGTGAGACTCCATCTAATTAACCAGTAGAAAAACAGACTGGAAACATGGCTCAATGACAGAGTAGCATAATAAGAGCTCAAGGCCCTGAGTTAAAGCTTTCATGCAGAAGGAGGAAGAGGAGGAGGAGGAGGAACAGGAAAAGAACGAGGAAAAGGAGGAGGAAGAAGAGGGCACTCTCATGAAGGGAAGAAATTTGAGAGCTGGAATTGATGCATTTCTAGCCTCCAACATCTTTTCATCCTTGAATGTGTATGTTAATAAATGTGTCTTGAGACACTGTCTTAATCTGTGATGTTCATACCATCTACTCATGGGGACATTTCACCGACAGGCTCTCCTGGCTCAAGGATCCAAAATGAGAAAAGGCATTTGAGCCATAAACTTCACCTGGAGAGCTTTAAAATTCTGGTATTCAGGTAACACCCCGAGTCAAATCATTCTGATCCTTAGTATTTTGTAAGGACCTCCAGGTGAGAAGCAAAAGTTGGGAGTCACTGAATAGGCTACATTTTCCTGTCATTTTTCCATTTGGCCACAAGATGTCGCTAATTGCCAAGCTGGGATTTTTGTAATTTTTATTTATTTATCGGTACTTTTCCATCAAAAGAAGTTCTTTCTTTTATTTCATTTTAGGCACTGATGTTTCCTGATTAGGAAGGAACAGACAGCTCAGTTTGTGCTACTTTACTTTGGAAGAACAATGAGTCAGAGAGAATGATGAGTATATAATGGTGAGTTCACCTCCTGAATAAGAACTGAGATAGTGAGGTGATTTTTCAACCATTTATGATCTTCACAAGCTATTCACTTGCCTGGGTACCTTAGTCATTCTAGCAGGAGTGGTGCAGGTATTTTCAATGTGGAGAAATACAAGGCAATAAACAAAGTCCAGGTCAGCCGGAATGCTTAGCACCACTTGATGCTTTTAGGACTCTAGGACTTCATGGACTGCTTTCTCTTTCCATGCGAGGCTTCTGTGTCTGAGCTGCTGTGAGTTTTTCTGGATTCTTCCACTGCGAGCTACTTAGGGCTGTCTTCTCCTTCCCTCCCTTATGCAGGGGGTCTCACAAGCTCCTGGTAGCCAGGGACTATGTTTTGTTCATCCCTATCCCCTAAGAGCCTACCTAGCAGTGTCCCAAGAACACAAGAGTTCTTCTCTAAAGACTGTCAAGTGTATCCACAGAATACTCAGAGAATAGGAGGAACACTTTCTAGTCTGTCTTGGTGGAGAGTCGATGAGAATAAGGGGTCCTTTTTAAAGTATTTTCTGATGAAACTAGATTCCATTTTTATCCATAGAGGTAAGCTGGACTTAATGTCATTTTAAAAATATGATTTCATAGTGTCTCCACCATGCTGGGCTGGAGAAGACTGGAAGGCATTGGTGCTGGCCTGAGCCATGAGGCTTCAGCAGCAACTTCAGTGTTTCTGGCCAGGCTGCTTCCCAAGCTTCACTAATGCAGACAACCGTACTCAGCAGTGGTGGAAGGAACAATGGCTCCTCCTACAGTGGCCCAGGTATTTCTTCCTGGGTTCCATTGATGGGTCTCTATTCAGCCTCCTCCCAGGTAGACAGAGACTGCTCTGAACAAGGGAGAACCACAGGATACGAGCAACTTGTCTTATTCAATCGAATCCCCAGCTACTTTAAATAGGATACTATTTCAATATTATTTTAATGCTAACATTAATATTTAACTAAATGTTAGCACGTGATTCAATGGTACTAATAAGCAATGCGTGTAACGTTATTTTTGTATTTTATTACTTTGATATCACTTTAATATTTTGTCATTAATATTTCAGTATGCAATGAAATTAAATGTCTTATGCAATTAAATTTTGACAGCCATTTTGGTATGTGAATATTAAATTAATATTTTAATATTTTAAATAATAAAATGTTTTAATATTTAACAACATCAATAAGTCACCATAATCTTGCATGCCCCCTAAACCTATTTTGTGAGTGTTTCATAAACTCTGCAGTGCTGGCTTTTGAAGTGTGTGTGTGTGTGTGTGTGTGTGTGTGTGTGTGTGTGTGTGTGTGTGCACCTGTACTAGAGTTTGAATTTAGGGTCGTCTCACTTAGCATTGTTTTGCCCACTGCTAGTGCTCTACCATGAGTCATGCCTCCATTTATGTTTTTTTGATAGTTAATTGGAGATAAGAGTGTCTAGTATTTATCTGCCAAATCTGGCTTCTCAGGCCTCAGTCTCTGGAGAAACTAGAATTATTGCGTGAATCCCCAGTGCTCAGCGTCAGTGCTCTTTTTAATGTCTTGTAGTAATACTACGCTCTTTCTCACCCAGAGTGAGGTGCACTTCCCTGAGGATACTGCACTGCTCAGGAGCTCAGAACAGACAGGTGAGTGTGAACACCATTTTTGCAAATATCTTCGTGCCTAGAATTAGAACTCCATGGATAAAGAATCACCTTCACAGCCCTTCTTCTTTTCCCCAGGACGTTATTACATAAGCTGGATGTGCAATCGGTAAGTCAGAATTAGGAAAAATTGGATCGGACAATTTTCTGTGGCTTAGAAGATGATGGCAGGTAGATTTCTATTGCAAGCTAGAAATAATTCTATCAAAGCTTTGTCCAAATCTCAGGTCTCTGCTGGGTAGGGGCCAAGTTGAAGGGCTCATTGGCAAAGGTCTGTTGGCAAAGCAGGCCTCCCTGACCTGCAGATGTGTGCAGACTCACCAGCTCTCTGTACAATGGGTCCAGGGTAAACCACAGAGCCACGGCGCATCTCTGGCCTTTGGTGACGGCCTTCACTCCGTGCGGGTTCTCTCCTCCTGACGAGAAGCTGATCATGCGCCCACACTTGGGTTTTATTGAGGCCTGATAAAGAAAGTAAAAACAAGGCTGTCAATCCTTTATCCTGAACATTTCCCTCTGGGATCTTGTGTGTGAAGATTTGAATCACAGCAACACAAAACAAACCAACAATAGAATCCTGAAGTGGAAGAAGACATAGATCACCTCCATGTTCTTACCCATAAAAGTTATAATTCATAAAATAACAACTTTTAGGTCCCAGGTATATTACAGCACACATGTAAGTTCTCATGTGTTGTAGTGATGACCTACACATTCCAAGAAAGCTAATTCATGCATACAACATCTGTGCATTAGATAAGTACATTGACCATGGATGGCATTATAAAGAAAGCGAAAGGACATCTGAGTACCAGAAGAACTTTGCTAATTGTCTATGGAGTATTCACATGCGTGTAACCTTTTCTAATTCCTTAATTTTACATTGACGGGTTTCTATCGTTTTAACACATTTTAAATGCCAAGTCTAACTCGCTGGGACACATCAAGCCCTTCACAGCATCATGCCCAGTGGTCATTCAAGCATGGCTTGACTGCCTCCAGGGATGAGACCCCTGCACCCTTGAGGTGAACCTGCTCCACCGACTCCAGGTGTTTTGAGGTGATTGACATGGAATGTCAAAGCTTGCGTGCTGCAGGTGGAGCTGTCTATTGATGTTTGGGTAGAGAAGTTCAGGGAACGTGGGAATGGGCATGGCTGGCGGCACGCAGCTAGAATAGAAGATGAACAGGCAGGTGCTTTGGGCAGCTGAATAATAGGAGTTGTAGCTGTGTGTTTGAAAAAGAGTCCTGTATAAGTTGAGACCATTTTTCTTCCTAAGGGAAATGCTAAGACCTTGCTCTCTTCCCCTTGGAGAGCTGAGAAAGGTCGTACAAACGCAGATGAGCAGAGCCAGGATTTGTCATGTGTGGCCACACAGAGCCCTTCTAACTACCTACTCTCTGAATTGACTTGAGGTGCGCTCAATAGAACTGTGTGTTTTCCTTTTGCATAAAAATCAGACTGCCATGGTGGCATTTTCACAGCTGCCTTTGAGAAAGCTTCTGAAAGTCCACAAATGCCCCATAATAACTTTTACTCAAGATTCGGCAACTGCATATTGAATGTTACAGGTGGTGAAGTCAAAATTCAGAGACCAGTTGAGAGTGTATATCTATGTGTGCCCAGAGTGTATGTGTCTGTGTATATACGTGTATACTTATGTGTGTGCAAATGTTAATAGAAAAAGCAATACGGAACCATTTCTGGTTACTGGTTACTCTCCTACCCATAGTCAGTGATGAGTGATTTGTCTTTTCTCGATCAAGTAGATTTCCAGAACAGACAGCTTCAGTCAGGTGGCTTTTCTGATAATAGACTACAGAGCTGTCTAGATGCTTGTGCCCACAATATCAGTCTGATTCTTGTTGTCTGGAGAAAGAACTTGCTGAATATTTCTATATAGAAATGGAATAAATAAACCAACCTAACTGGGCCCTAGTGGCTTATGCCTTTAATCCTAACTGCTCAGGAAGATGAGATCTAAAGACCTTGGTTTTAAGCCAACAAGAGAAAGGAAGTCTATGAATACTTTTCTTCAAGTAACCAGCAAAAAGCTGAAAGTGGAACCACGTCACAAGTGGTAGAGTGCTAGCCATAAGTGAAAAAGCTAAGGGACAGTACCCAGCACCCTGAGTTCAAGCTCCAATGTACACACACACACACACACACACACACACGAAAGATAAAAGAAACAGAAATATAAATGATACAGAGGCCTGTGGTGGAAGATGGGAATGCCTTCCTAGGGAAAGCCTTGGGAAGGTGGCTGCAGGGTCATTGGCTGTCATTTGTTTCCTGTATTCACTGAACCCCACCCCTCATGGAAGCCTTTGCTTCAACAAGATCGCCAGCTCTTGACAGCAACCTCTGGAGATAGGAGGGAAGAATGTTGAGAGGCAATGCTGTGTTCTTTCTTTGATGAAATGAAAGTTGAAAGTATTTTGCCCACGTTTTATCAGAACTTGTCGTTTAATTCTGGAGGTTGTGTAACCCTTGTTTCCTTGGCTACTGGAATCCCATTCAAGAAACTTCTTGCCTGTCCTTCATGTATTTTCCCTAAGTTTGCTTGTAGTAAATTCAAACTTTCAGGCCTCTCGCTTAGGTATTTACTCCATGTTGAGTTGATTTTTGTACAGGAGGAGAGGCATCTAATTTCAGTCTTCTACATATGGAATGTATCCTTTTTCTTTTTCCAATGTAAGAATTTGGGGCAAGTTTAGCAATCAAGGTACCCAGTGCCTTGAAGGAGTTAGAATGGGTCTGAGCAACTCTGGGATGAACCTCAGCTATCTGGGAGCTTATCTGCCCACACCAGCAATCGCAGGAGTGAAGCGTCCATCAGTCTGCTTCTGTTTCTGAAAAGGTTTCTTCAGGGAGGCCTGCTCTCAAGTTCAGACAAATGACTTGGTTTTTTGCCAGCCCTGGGGCTTGAGCTCAGGGCCTGGGCCCTGAGCTTCTTTTGCTCCAGGCAAGTGCTCTACCACTTGAGCCACACAGCTCCCCTTCCGGCTTTTTCTGTTTATGGGGTACTGAGGAATTGAACCCAAGGGCTTCACATGCTAGCTAGGCAAGTACTCTACCACTGAGCCACATGCTAAGCCTGTGCTCATACTTTTGCAACATAATCTAGTCACATTGAATTTACATGAGTTCTGGTCTAGGGTCTTTTAAATTTGAATGGAAGCTTCCATGAAGCAAACAGGCTGGGTTATGAAACTTAACCTTCAAACGTACACAAAGAATATCATATTCCTCAATTCCTGTACCTCACAAGTACATGTTTTTGTACAGAGTAACCCACCTATCTCCCTTATATCATACTCTTCAAGTAAGATTGTGGAAAACTGTGCTTTCCATCTAATCCATGGTCAACAGTCAGAAATGCATTTGTGATGAACTTTTGTCAAATAAAGGTAAATTCACCATCAATCAATTAATTTAAAAATTGCAGTGTGTTACAAAATAAAAGACTTAAAAGATACTAATTCCTTGTGTGGCTTCAGGTTAGATCATTTCTCTGTTCCTTCAGCTGAAAAAGGAGTGAAGTTGTCATGAGAAAGAAATAAGAACTGGAATTCAATTTTAAGAATTCATCACATTCTTATCTAGGAATTTCATTTATCTATTATGAACAAATGTCTTAAAAATCTGTGCCATAATCAAAGAAACACAACAAATCAAAGAAAGGTCGGACAAATGGGATTGCATGAAATTGCAGAGCTTCTGCATGGCAAAGGACATAGCTAGCAAGATCAATAGAAAGCCCATGGATTGGGAGAAGATCTTAACTAGCCATACAATGGACAAGGGTCTCATATCTAAAATATACTTAGAACTCAAAAAACTAAATCCTCTAATGACAAATCCTCAAAGAAACAACTGCCCAATAAATAAGAGAGCTAAAGACTTAAAGAGAAACTTCTCTGAAGAGGAAATAAGAATGGCCAATATATACATGAAGAAATGTTCAACCTCTCTAGCCATAAAAGAAATGCGAATCAAAAAAACATTGAGATTCCACCTCACTCCAGTTAGAATGGCTAAAATCAAGAAATCTAATAACAACCGATGCTGGAGGGAATGTGGCCAGAAGGGAACCCTACTGTTGGTGGGAGTGTAAACTTGTTCAACCACTTTGGAAAGCAGTATGGAGGTTCCTCAAAAGACTCCACATAGAGCTCCCTTATGACCCAGCAATCCCACTTTTGGGCATTTACTCAAATGATCACAAACACCATACTAAAGCTACCAGCACAACTATGTTTATTACAGCATTATTTGCCACAGCTAAGATATGGAACCAACCCAGATGCCCCTCACTAGATGAATGGATCAAGAAAATGTGGTATATTTATAATATGGAATTTTATGCCTCTATCAGAAAGAATGATATCGCCCCATTTGTTAGGAAACAGAAATGGAAAATTTATATTAAGTGAAGAAAGCCAGGCCCAAAGAAACATAGATCTCATGGTTTCCCTTATTTGCAATAAGTAGTATAAGTCTAGGACAAGCAGAAAAGGTCAAAAGCTATGTGCATATGACTATGTAAGATAATGTTAAGCGAAATGAACCCCAAGATAGAAACATGAGTGGTTTTTTTCTTTCTTGCTATTGTTTTTAGCATATTTAAAATGTACTATGTGATTTTTTTGTTTCTCTTGGATGCTCTTCCCCCATGGTATAATCCCTGTTTTCACTGTGTTTGATTCCAGGGCCCTACATCTTGTATATACATTTTTCTAATTTGTGGGGGAGAAGGAAATAACAAAATGCTAAAATAAGGATACAGGTTGACCCATTGTAACAATGAGATGTACAAGACACTATGTTGAAAACAAACTTTACAACTTGGGGGCAGAGAGGGAGGAATTGGGGAGGCAGAGAGGGAAGGGATTACAGGGGAAAAACAAAGGAGGAGGTAACAATGCTGGACAGGAAATGTACTCATTACCTTACTCGTGTAACTGTAACCCTTCTCTACAGTATTTTTACAATAAAATCTGTGCCATATAAAGTCATATAAAGTAATATAAACGACTCAGCTTTTGGTTTAAAATACTGTTAAAGAGATTTTCATTTAGTTTTTGTGGGGAAGTAATATTCAGTGCTTTGGAACATACACCAGTTCTTAGGATAATAGGATGTGAAAGGAGAATGTGACCTGGTTTCAATGTGGTAAAATGGAAGTGTAATTAGCTTACATTCTACAGTGAATGAAATTAATTCAGACAGTACTTCAGTAATTCCTTTCTTTTCTCATACATTGATCATTTTCAAATATGACCACTAGATGGAGTAAAAGCAAAGACATCTTTTCAACCACCTGTCTGCATTCTGTTCCAACTATGATTTTCTTCGAAACTGTGAACTTTGTTTTTCTCCTTCGGTTTCAGGATTAGCAAAGCTCAAGAGCAAAATGCTTTTCACACACAGACTTCCCAAAATTCAGAATCCCGGGCAAGGCTTTTAAACTACATCAATTTTGACTGAATCTCCCCAGTTATAAAGCATATTAATATTTCTACAAAGAGTGAGGCAAGATGCCCTTTTAAACAGATATTGTATTAAATCACACAAATTTTTAAAAAATCACTTAACCATGTTTCTGGATAGTTTTAACCAGAATCCTCGGAGGCTCCTTTAAATCCAGTACAAACAGCTTGGGGTATGTTTCTTGTACCCTAGTTGTGTGTCATGGTAATACAAGATATAATACACACTACAAGGTTGTTTCCTATTGAGAAAAGTGTGTGCACTAAAAGGGAAAAGAATAAAACTCAGCTAAAGTCTTCAGGATAGTTTAGACAATGCCAAAACTTTGGAATTTATCATATCCATGTTCTGACAACTTAGGTTTTACATGGAGAAAATGATGCTCCATGGTTGACTTGTGTTTCTGTTGTTTCTTCAAATGGAGAAAATGCTTTTCTAGCATTGTGTGTGATTTTGGGCTTAAACATTAATAGATGCCCACATTATCTTCTCTAAGGGTGCAGCAAACTGGCTTTCTAAATACCTTGGTTTTTTTAGGAAGATGGTAGCTGAATTTATCTTTTGATACAGATGTGTGTGTGTGTGTGTGTGTGTGTGTGAGAGAGAGAGAGAGAGAGAGAGAGAGAGAGAGAAACACACACAGAGACAGAGAGAAAGAGAGAGACAGAGAGAGGGAGAGAAAGAGAGAGAGAAAAAGAGAGATGGAGAGAGACAGAGAGACAGGAGAGAGACAGAGAGAGTATGTGTTCTGGGGCTTGAACTTAGCTCCTCAGGCTCTTGCTTGACTTCTTTACTTCAGGATTTTACCACTCGAGCCACACCTTCTGGGTTTTTGCTGATTAATTAGAATAAGAATCTCATGGACTTTTCTGCCCAGCCTGACTTTGAATCATGACCCTCAGATTTTAGCTTCCTGAGTACAGGCATGATACACCAATACCTGGCTTAGCGTGTATATCTGTGAGTATGCATATCAATGTGGAAGCAAGGGAGTGATGTATATTTGCACAAGTATTTATTTATATACACACACCCACGCTTATACCTATAACTGCATATGATTATTTTGATAACTTGGGTATTGGAGGACAATGCTCAGTCCAAGAATGCAGAACAGCAGGTTACTTGGAAGACATTTTGTGTAATCATTTAACTTTTCCTGGATTTGGGTGACTTAGGAACTTCTGTCACATTGTTTGACAGAACTCAGAACACTTTTGTTCCAAGTCTAACATTAGTTACACAATCACATTAAATAGTTACAAAACTGTTTTATTTTATTTTATATTATTTTAATGCTGGTTCTGGGGCTTGAGCTCAGAGCCCAGATATTATCCCAGAGCTTTTAAGCTCAAAGCTAGTATCTACCACTTGAGCCACAGATCCTCTTCTAGCATTTTGAGTGGTGAATTGGAGATTAGAGTGTTAGAGACTTTCCTGCCCAAGCTTAACCACGATCCTCAGATCTCAGACTCCTGATTCGTTAGGATTACAGGTGTGGGCTACCAGTGCGCGGCTATGTTTTTTTGTTTTGTTTCATTTTTAATTTACTCATTTTTTAGATGGATTCAGATGTGCCTATAGATGCTTTCATGTCTTATATTTTATGACCTACAAATTCACTAGTGATTTCTCCATTTCTTGGATTCTTGATCTATGAGTCTGGAAAATGGAGACTGAAGCTTTAAGAGTTCCAAATGAGTTTGCAGGAGAGATTTACTTACTGTCACAGTCTTAGCATCCATTTCGGTGAATATGAATTCTCCTCCTTCAAAGTCATCGTTCATATATAGGAGCGCGCTATAAGAAGAAAGAGGACAGTGTTCATATGGTGATACATGCTTCCAGCCTCACAGAGACTGCTGATGAATGCACTAGCTTCATCAGTAAGTTCCCCTTGAAGTTGATATTGAAATAAACGACCCTCCATTCTGTGAAGATTAGGTATTATATAGGTTATACCCCTGAAGTGCTCATTGGTTCCATTTACATTCATGTTTCAATCATATTTCAAGTCTTATGCCACATTTTACTTCTTTTGGAAGGTGGTGCCTAATCAGATTTAATTTCATTCTCTAATCTCACTGATATAACTTGTAACTCTTGTATTCCCTTATTTAATAGGGCTTTTAAAAAATGCTAGACAATTCCTCGCTGTGAAGCATAGCCTCAGAGATAGGGGGCGCTCAATAACTGATTTTTGAGCAGAGCAGGGTGTAGTAATAATAATTAGTACACTTTTATATACAATACATGATGACTACAATGATTCTTTACATATTGATAGCCTTCCATACGTTGAAAGGGTATTTCATTCTGGGAGCTTCTAAATACAAGCAGAGTTCTTTATGGGTGTGAATACTAGCTAAGTCATGCATTGTGATGCTATGTTATTGTCTTCTGAGACCTACAAACACATGCTCAAGGACAAGCCTGTGAGACACTGTGGTTAATTAGATGCAAAATGAGTTTCTGTTAAAGATATCAAAGAAATCGATGCTTCTCTGTGATTACAGCTGCTTCGGGAGACCACTGGACAAGCTCTCCTGAAGCAAAATGAAGAGTGAATGCCCAACAGAAGCTTTCCAGTGTCCGTGAGGTTTTGATAACTGTTATGAGAAAGTCTGGCTTTGAAGTCAGTGGTGTCTGTACCTATAGTCGCGGAAAGTGTATGCCGGAGGCTCCTTCCAGCACTCATTGGCTTCTGGGTCCAACAGGCAGTTATCAGCATGGATGGGATGGCTGAGGTCATTTCTCCTGTCCTGCTGGCCTGCCAGGAGAATAGGAGATGGATTGCAGCAACTTCCAACAGAAAAGCAGACACTATCACTGTCTTCTCATGTTTCCAGTGTCATCCATGAGTGTGGAGACACAGAAGACTCGTCAGAAGACATGGAAGGACAGTGGACAAGTCAGACTCTGGTCCAGTCTGGACATCAACTTCATGTAGAATCTTGGGCAAATGATACCTGTCTCTTCAATTATAAAATTCCTCCTCAGTCAACTCTGATTTCATGGATTCTATTTCAAGGATTAAAAATAATGGCCAGAATAATTAAAGATAATTTAAAAAGAGAAAGAAAAGGAAGAAAGAGGAGGGGGAGGAGGGGGAGGAAGAGGAGGAGGAAGAGGAGGAAGAGGAGCAGGAGGAGGAGGAGGAGGAGGAGGAGGAAGAGGAGGAGGAGGAGGAGGAGGAGGAGGAGGAGGAGGAGGAGGAGGAGGAGGAGGAGGGAGTATGATAGCCTGGCACCAGTGGCTCACTGCTGTCACACTAGCTACTCAGGAGACTGAGGTCTGAGGATCCCAGTTTGAAGAAAGTCTGGGCAGGAATATACAAGAAACTCTTTTCCCTAATTAACCACCAAAAAGCTGGAGGTGAAGCTGCGGCTCAAGCGGTAGCACACTAGCCTTGAGTAAAAATGCTCAGGGACAGCATCCAGACCCCAGGAATAGCATGTGAAGAAATAAATGCATGATTTGGGTTTTAAGATAACATGTCATACAAGTAAAGTCTACAGGGCATCCTTCTAGTTCCCGTTGAAGTTGGGGGGAGAAAAGACACAGAGGGACTAGCAATGAGTGGGGTGTGAGGATGCTTCCTTTCAAATAAGGTTTTATGTGAGGATGCACATATGTATGTATTTGTGTGCATGCATGTACATATGCATGCATGCATGCATGTATGTATGTATATATTTTATTTTATTTTATATTGTTGGTTATGGGGCTTGAACTCAGCCTGGACATTCTCCCTGAGCTCTTCAGCTCAAGGCAAGCGTTCTTCCACTTGAGCCAGAGCATCACTTCTAGGTTTCAGGTGGTTAATTGGAGAGAAGAGCCTCACGTACTTTCCTGCCCAGACTGGCCTTGAACCTTGATCCTCAGCCTCTTGAGTAAATAGGATTACAAGCAAGAGCCACCAGTGCCTGGCTTATTTATTTATTGTGTTGGTACTAAGGCTTGAACTCAGGGACCGGGCGCTGTTCCTCAGCTTTTTCTGTCCAAAGCTGGTGCTCTACCACTTAAACCACTACTTCTTACTTTTTTGCAACTTGTAGATAAGAGCCTCAAGTACTTTTCTGCCTGGGCTAGCTTGAACCTGTGATACTCAGATCTCAGCCTCCTGAGTAGCTAGGATTATAGGTGTGAGTCGCTGGCACTTGGCTTAAAGAACACTGATTAAATAATCTCTTTTATCACCAAAGCTTCCACTCAGTGCTTGCAAGCCTAACAACTGTAAGATCCAGGGATCTGGCTGTAGAAGCTGCAGTAGGAAAGCAGTTTGTTTTTTTCTTTCTTTCCCTCCTTGATTTTAGCCATTGCGGAAAAACAGATTTGAAGACAGAAAGTGTTCAGAGTGAAGGTTTCTGGCAACTGTAGGAAATCAAAGAATAAGGCTGAGCAAGAAAGACTTGGTAGGTGCCTGCAATGTAGGAATGTTACCCAACATCATCAAAGGAGTACTAGAGCTTGGCTTGGCTTGGAAGAGCCTTCACTAGGCATGGTGGATCGCAGGGTGACAGGCTCGGAATCTCACCGGACAGGGCTGTTCGGCAGACCATGTGTGTATAGGAGAAATACAGGGTGGAATTCAGCATGAAATAGGATTCCACGATCTTTCTAGCCTTTTCACTGATGTCATAAAACAGACGGGCGCTCTTCAGAGGCACTCGGCCTTCATAACCAAACTGAAAAGACAAAGAGGAAAGCAAGGTCACTGGAAGACTGGAGGCAGTCTCCAGATTTCATTAAGCCGAGACATCATTGTCCTTTCTGAGCTGGCTACTGGGAATAGAACCCCATGTTTATAGGTCTGGAAGAGACCAGGCAACCATTAAAGGAGGCTCCTCTCCCTCACAGAGGGAGAGTTAAAGACTGTTTGCTGGAGCCTTCTTCTCTTCTTCTATTCTTCTCTTCTATTCTTCATCAGCCCCCACCCCCAACAGCACTTGTTTTGATGTTTATGTAATTAGCTCACAAACTCCTTGAGGACAGTGGCTGCATATATGTTTTTGGTCAGGGACAGGTTTCAGGAGACGTAAAGTTTGAGAACTTGGTGAATGAATGAGGAAATGATCAAAGACAATGAAGGTGGCTAGGAGTGAAGCTCCGCCCCCCACCCCCCCCACCCCCGCCCCATGCCCTAGAGAACACATATCACCCATCACACATTAGGATGGAGGAAGATCTGGGACCAAAGCTTACATTCTATAGCAAACACACAAAACCACCCAACCAGGGGTCCACCCCTTCCTCTCCCTTTTTGCTCTGTTTGACATTCACAAGAGCCTGTGGCCTGTAGCCTGACACTGAAGAAACCAAGCCCACAGAAAGCAAAGACTTTACTCGGAGTGCTTTCAGGACCGTTGCCCCTTCAAACTTTTCGTTGGGTGTGTGAGGTGATGTTTTCCCTCGATAGCCGTCACCGACAAGCATGATTCCCTGGAAGAAAAATACAAGAAGAAGCTTTATCAGTAATAAGTATGTCATCCATCACCTCTGTCTTTATGCTCTAGCTGCCAGAAAGCAGGGTGCAAAAGTCAATTTGCAGAGTCATTCCCATTGTATTCCAAAACCCAGGTTCAACTCTTTCTTATTAGGAATCATCATCATAATAACGACAACATGGATAGGGCTTAATGGGAGGAGGGGGCAGACAAAGGAAAAGAAGAAAGGTGGGTCGGTACATCGTGATAATCAATGTTCACCTGTGAAACTGGAGCCAGGTAACTTGAGGGGATGGGTGGGGTGGGGATAGATGAGAGGGGGCAGATTGATGGAAAAAGTGATGCTGATCAAGATACAATGCTCAAGTAAACTGATGTGTTGGATTAAAACCCCTTCGAACAATTACTTAGAGGTAATGATAAAAAACATAAATAAAGATAAAATCAGAGCATCCCTTAAAAGAAGATAGCTATTAATCTTCAGTCTACATATTTATAGAAACAAAAAAGTAATCGATTCACATATTCAATCATTATGGATTAAAATGAAAGGATTTTCCCCAGAAACTTTATATGGTAGGCAGATCATAAAACAGGTGGTCATCCTGTCCTAGAGATAAAGCCAGGTGGTATTCTACGGTGGAATCTGAGAAAACTGAAGTAATTGCAACTGAAAAGCTATGAAAGTGCTTCCATAACCAGTGTGGATTGATTCTAAAGCTAGTGCATTTCTAGACCTTATTCCCTGGGTACAAAGGAAAGCAGGATCCCTATCCTGTAGGCTCTGGAGAGGGCAGCAGAGTGGACCCATCCTCTCCCAGAATCCTCCTCCCTGCCAGGACCCTCCCCTGCCAGGACCCTCCCCTCCTCCAGCCTCACACTGGCCACACTGTGCAGCTCCCGGCACTGTTCTTCAGACAGGACATTATCCAGAAGAACCCGCTGCGTCCCGTTCAGTTGCTCTGAGTTGTAAACAAAGGTGATGTTCTCAAACAGCAAAGGCCCACCTGGAATGACAGAGCATGCGCATGACCCGTTTTGCCTGCTACCTCTGTCCTCCAAAAAGGAAGCACAGAATACCCAATGGCTTCAGTGGAAACACAAGAGAAGCCTTCTCAGAATGGATGCCCAGGGATGGGAGGATAAATTATGGATTAGCCAGCTCTGTAAATACGACGTGCAATCAATCAGGAAAGTGGAGATGTCTTGCAGACCAGCTTACCTATGTTTGATCTTTTAGGATGGGTAAGGGTTTTTTTTTTTTTTTTTTTTCCAAGTAATTCAGAAAAATAGACTGGACAATTCTCGGGATTCTCCTCTGAGAAGCCTAGCCTTCTCCTTAGCCCTTTGCTTGTGTCTCTGTCAACATCAAATCAAGTCATTGACTACATCTCTCTGTCCCTCACACTTGATATGCCCCTGCACCCATGCCTTACTTGGAGAAATGGCATCAGCAGTCACCAGCAGGTAATACCTGTCTCCTTCCCACGTGCCTTCCCAATACCCACCTGAGCACTCTTGTGTTTAGAGTGATTACTTTTCTCTGATTTCTGTGTAACATCTTCACATTGTTGTTTTGGGGAACACCTTTAGAAAAGTAGCCGCCAGAGGCCCTTCAAAAAGAGGTTCTTTGGGGTCCCATGGGCAAGGTCCCATAACAAGGTCCCTTGCTTTTAAAGAACAGAAGGAGAAAGCCTGTGCTGATGAGGAGCACGTTAAGGGAGGCACAGGGCAAACGCCTTCTGCCAGAAACTGAACAGAAAGGAAAATGGTGCTTGTTATTCCTTTTACTGGAAACATTCCCACCTCTTAGCAACAGCTCACCATAGAAGGAGCTCGGGAGAACCACAGCCACGCTTCCCTGCCCAATCGAGCAATGGACACTGGTACAGAGTCTAAGACACTTTCCAAGAAAGAAGAGACATCAAGACAGATATCTGCTTTTATCTCGGAAAAGCAGATTAGCTGAACGGGGAGCAGCTCCCTGCACGTATTACTAGTCAAGTACAGATGAAAGTTCCCCACAGCCCATGACTCATGGAGTCTTCGAGGAGCCAATGTTTCTCAGTCTTGAGCAATGCATGGTTATCAGTTAAAACAAATGCTCCTAAAGGAGCTCTGGTGCCGACAAACTATTTTTACTGTGATTTTCATTCCGTATTTATAGTCACAAAATTTTTGTGTATTATAGAAGTAAGGCAGACATTATTGATTTCCATAGTTTCATATAACTACAATACCATCATCAAATTTTAAGATTAAATGGACGCTGCCAGGAATTGGTGGCTCACCTATAATCCTAGCTACTCAGGAGGCTGAGATCTGAGGAGTGATTGAAGCCAGGCAGGGCAATTATTTCCAATTAACCACCAAAAAGTTAGGAGTGGAGCTGAGGCTTAAGTAGTAGAGTGCTAGTCTTGAGAGAAAGAGAATTTAAAAAAAAAAAAAGCACAGGGATAGCACTCAGGCCCTGAGTTCAAGCCCTAGGACTCTCTCTCTCTTCTCTCTCTCTCTCTCTCTCTCTCTCTCTCTCTCTCTCTCTCACACACACACACACACACATACACACACACACACACACGGCAGAAACAGCTTGAGTGGAAGAGCACAGGCTTTAAATAAAGGGGCATGGCCCAGGTCCCGAGTTGAAGCCCTACTACTTACCAAGAGTAAATTAATAAATAAACAAAAGCCAGATAATAAACTAGCTACATTTTAAATGAACATTATTACAATTAACATTATTAATAAAACGATTCTTGTTATTTGGCTTGATTTAAGGCACGGGATTCCATACAAATGTTACTATTACTCAATGATCTGGACCAGGTTGCTACTGCTTGTTTGCTTGTTTGTTTCTGATAGGATTGTGTTATGTAGCTCAGTCTGGTCTTATACTGGCAACCCTCCTGCTTCAGCCTTACAAGGGCTAGGATTGTAGGTATGTACCATATGCTCAACTATTTACAAGGTTCTGTTTATTTACTATCATTTTTTGCATTATCTTGCTGTATAATGACACATTTTACCATTCCTTTTCTCTATTGAAGCTATTATATATAATTTTAGTGTATTTGATGAATGTTGGCCTTTATCAGGTCTTAATACATTACTTATAATTTTATTATAAATTTATTGCTAGTCTTCATTTATTGCTAGTCTCCCACCAACAATGTATTAAACGGTACCAAGATGACCAGAAGTGCACTCACTCTAATCAAGATGTGAAATTTCATGGCACTATAACCCAAAAGTACTCATTCACATGTCCACTTAAGGCTCCTATTAATTTTTTAAGTTGTTATCAAAATGTATAAACACAAAATGTCTTAGATTTCAAGAATATATTAACAAGGGCTAGTAAGGTGGCTCAGTGGTAGAGTGCTTGCCTACAATGCATGAGGCCCTGGGTTCAATTCCTTAGCACCACATAAGCAGAAAAAGCCAGAAGTGGTGTTGTGGCTCTCAAGTAGTAGAGTGCTAGCCTTGAGCTGAAGAGCTGAGGGACAGCGCCCAGGCCCAGAGTTCAGACCTCACGACCAAAAAAAAAAAAGAATATATTAACAAGTATTCAGTTTCAGTATCACATCCCTTAAGCCAGAAGAGAAATAAATACATTTTTCTACCTCTTAGTATTTCTCATGCTATGAAGTTTTGGGACAGTACTGGATTATAGAAAATTTAAATGGACTTGAGAACTTCTAATATATAACTAGGCCTTATGAATCTCTGAAGCAGTGAGGCAATAATATGAAGTGTTTTTTTAGCTCTCACTGAACCTAATTCTTCTCTGCCACCCTCTCTTCTTCTTCCCTTCCTTCTTCTCCTTTCTTCTTTCCTTTCTCTCTCTTTCCTTCTTTCCTTTCTCCTTCTTACCTTCTTTTCTTCCAACGGCAGATATATTCTAGATAGCCCCCAATGGTTATTGCACCCGGCTCCTGTGCCCTGTGTGAACTACTTCTCATGCATGTGGGTATGGCCTAGGACTTGCTTCTAACCAGTAGAATATAGCCAAGATGAGGAGCTATCACATCATAACATTGTGGTTTTTATCCTGCTGGCAGACTCGGCCTGTTACCTTCTCTGCTTGCATGCTTCCGTGAAGCAGTGGTTCTATCACAGCTGATACAGCACAGAATTAGGGGCAGCCTCAGGCCAATAACCAATGAGGAACTGAAGAATCATTAGCTAACACTCCTTTAGAAACTGAATTCTGCCATCTAACATCAAAGAAAATATTTCACAGACAGGCCTCAGAAGAGAATCTAACCTTGGTCACCAAAATGATCGCAGCCTCGTGAGAAAACTTGAAGAAATTGATACCGTAACCCCTGACCTCTGAGCCACAAAAACTATGAGTAATAAATGGATGTTGGTGTGAGCTGCTACATTTGTACTGACGTTTTAGAGCTATAAAACAAAACAAAGCAAAGTCAAACAGAACAGTAGCTCCTTCCATAATACCTCTAAGTATAGAACACATTCTGAAGAAAGTTGCTTTAGTCTGTGTAGCTAGTTGGGATTCATAATCATACGGATTCAGAGCCTTCTTCAATTATTTGAAAAAGTAAATTTCATATTCATTCTAAATTAGAAATATATATATGAAATGTCCTTCAACAAGAAAGTCATCTCCAGATCCACTCAGAAGCATTTGCGGATATAAGCTTCAAAAAGAAATGGAAGACAGAAGAAAGGAGGAGTTAAGAAAACTGGATTGGTTTGTACTTTGCTGAATTTACAATGTTTGCTATTTTCAAGATAATACTCTTTTGCATATGATGATTCTAAAAGCAGGTGAAGGCAGGGTGCCATATAACCTTGAATATCCAGATCCTCCAGGTTCAGGAGGAACTGGTATGAGAATAGAGCTAATTTAATTATCACAAGGTTATTATCACTAAGTATATAATTTTATATAGAAATTTCTCACCACACTCTCAATTGGTTGTTTCTTAACAACCAGTTACCCGCCCACTAGCCAAAAGGGAAAAAAATAAATAAGCTTCATTCATAAAGTGAGTCAACCAGCCTGAAGTTGACTTGTAACACACCAGCAGAAGAAAACATTAAAATGAACACAAAAATGCAGTCCAATAGGTTGTGGTTCCTGAAGCTTCCACCAGTTCTTAACCACAGCACAACGAGATTAAGTTCAACAACTTAATTCTCTCATTCATAAAGTATGTGCCTGGCTCTGATTCTACATTTGCAACAAAGAGGTGATCTAGGAAAGAACTCCTTGGTGTTTCTTAAGTGTGGCTTCGGGTAAGAAAACTAACTTTTCCATAAAGACCACAATATCACTCCAGGCATGGTAGGGGTGTACAAAATAACAAGCCCTTAGATGAGCACTGCCTTTTATGCTTTACAAAAGTCTTCCACATTTGCCATGTTAAATAAAAAGTTATCATCCTTATGTTACAGATAAGTGCCACAGGACCCAGCACCAGGGAGATGAGGTTTCTCCTGGCACACAAGAACATCAGCTAAGAAAATCCTAAAACCAAGTCTCTAGATCCCAAGTTAAGTGTTAACTTCTACCTCACCCCCAAGATCATATCAAGTGTAATCTTTAGTGATGATTGAAAGGAGGGTGGATGAGTAATGAGAATGTTTTCATAATAGTGTTACCCTGTACCGTAGGTGTCTTGGATTGGTGTCACTCTGCTATATAAGATTGAGTGATTCTCATATTAACGTTTACAAGTCGCCCATATGAATCCTCGTAAGTACTATTAGGTAACTCAAGGAGGTGTCATTCTTTGTAGCATTCTTTATTTTGTAGCATGTGGATCCTTCCTTGACTCCTTGGCATCTGCCTTCACGCAGACTAAGATAGGACAGTTTTCTCTTGTTGACAACTTTGCTTCCATTGGCTAGCGTTCTTAATTTAGGTTCTATGTCAAGTGTTTGATGATTGGACCCAAAACTTCCCAGTTGTGGAAGAAAGAAATATGTTTGGTCTTTACCTACAGTTCTTAGTTTGAATGCTTTGTAAGTAAACTCAAGATTTTTCTGAATGATACAGTGAGTATCTTTTGTTACTCATAATAAGTCCTGTTTTAATTGCACTGGAGTTAGGTTAACAAAACAACTTCCAGTGTAGCTTCTGGATGAACTCAGGGTAGAAGGAGGTCATATGAAACACCAGGTGATTAGAGAATTGAAACCAGCAGTCCTCACATGGGCCTCTGGAAGTAGAGTAGAAGGACTGGAAAATAGCATACTCTTGGGCAACAAGGTTTAATGAGATTTCAGTATGCTGGGATTATGGGCTGTCAAGAGAGGGCATGGAAGATCTGTGAACTCCCTCCCCAGTGCCTGGCCCAATATACCATTTCCTCTGGTTGTCCATTTGTCTCTATTATGATGCCCTTTGTAAAACAAAACAAACCTGACAAATGTGTTTCCCTGAATTTTATGTACAGCTTCAGCAAATTAGTAAAATCCAGAGTGCATGGGGAGAGCTGATGTTTGTAGTTGGTCTGTGAGAAGCTCAGTCAGAAGAATAGGTAATCATTGACTACTGCTGTTGGCCTCTGAAGCAGGGCAGTCTTACGGGGCTTGGCCCTCGGCTGGGAAATCTGACCCTGTCTCAAGCAGACTGTCAGAGTTGAACTGAATTGTGGGACACCAAGTGGGGTGTTCCTTGTAGAACTTGATGGTGGGCAAGAGGCAAACTCTCTACATACCTGGTCACAGAAGTATTCTGAGTTAAGCATATGAGTAGAGAAAGAAAAATAGTTATGATTTTCTTCATATCAGTAGGCTTCCAGACAATATCCTGCGATTCATTCTGCAGTTCAACCAAGGAAACTGCAGATACAAGCTTGATGCTGGTGAGTAAAAAGCCTGTGATCATAGCTACTCAGGAAATTGAGACCTAGAGGATCACTGTTTGAAGCTAACTCGGACAGAAAAGTTCAAGAGATTCTATCTCCAATTACCCACCAAAAAGCTGTGTTTATACTTCAGCTTAACAATCCTGAGGTCCTGAGTTCAAACCCCAGTACCACCAAAAAAAAACAACAAACAAAATCATAAAGGAATGAAAGATTTTGTAGAATTTGCTGACATAATCAATCATTGCATAGCACTGGTCCTTTGTTCTGCTTTTTCCATTCATCTTCCCTAGTTAGTTACCAGATATCAGATTCTCTGATAGCCAAATAAACAAATAAAAAGCCTTAAAATTTGGCAATTGTCCTGGAGTTTCCCAAACATTTACAGCAAAATGCTATCCTGGCATGCGCTTCCTGGGTGATTTCTCAGCTTAAAAAGCATCATGAACTCTGGATGACCATAAAGCTTTCTGGCAGTTATAAAACAGCCTGGGCTCCGTGGCTACACACTGAGGTGTAGGTCACATTAGATGGGCCCATTATCCTGTTTATGGCTTCAAACAGACTTGGAAGCTGGGGAAGGAAAGGGCTGGAGAAATATAAGGGCTGTAGAGTGCCAAGAAGTCTTCAAATTGAGAGGAATGTGCTGACAAGCTCTCCTGGGGAAAGAAGTACTGTACTTCCCAATGCAGGTTTCTTATATTTACAGTTGGGCCTCTGTGTCTGGGACTTTGCATCTGTGAATTGAACCAAGCATGGGCTGAAAAACAGCTGAAAAAAAATGTGCCTGGACTGAGTGCATCTAGCCTTTTTCTGTCATGCTCCCTTAACCCATGCAGATTAATAACTATTTCTTTATATACCCTGGCATTGGAGTAGGTAGTATAAGTAATTCACAGATGATTTAATAGGAAGCTATGAGTCAGTTATATGTTAATTCTATGCTATTTCATGGAAGGGACTGATGCATCCTAAGATTTCAATATACTTTGTCAGGGTCTCCATTGATCCCCAGGGATGACTATTTAATTAATATAGCTTATACATATTTATTTGTCTAGTAGAAGCCAATAAAAGGATAAAATATGGGATTTAGATTCCAAAGACTGGGTTCAAATACCCAGTGAATACGGTTATGGGTGCTGAGATTTTAGAAAAGTCAGCACATCCCTGCACATCAGACACTACTAGTATTAAAATAGATTATGTGCAGCTTGTTTGAAAATTACAAACCCAATAGGAACAGTAATAATGATCAAGAATTAGTATTTCTCTTAGTGCTTACTCTTGCTAATATTGTATTAGTATCACAATGTTTGGCTTCATTTAAAGACTATTTTGGAGATACTTTATTTGTAATTTATTACTATATTTCTGATGCAAATATATAGATAATGTTCTACTCTCCCCATCTTGATGCTTTTGCCCTATTCCTTTCATTTTAACATAATCAACAAATTTAATTATTTTCTCAATAGTTTCTCTTGTTTTTTAAAATTGTTACTATAAAGGTCTTATACAGAGGGGTTACTGTTTCATTAGTCAGGAAATGAGTACATTTTTTTTTGGACAGTGTTACCTCTTCACTCATGCTCTCTCCCAGATTTTCCTTCCCTTCCCCATGCACAATTTGGATAGTTCCAAATTAGTGTCTAGTGAGTACCACTGCTACATTTCTTTACCCTTTGTCCCTCCATTTCTGGGCCTGCCTTATCTCCCCTAAAGACAGTTAAACAGAAACAAGACAAAAAGCCCCAAAGACTGTTAAACAGAAAGAAGACAAAAACTGGAAAAAAATCTTGTTTTTCCTTTTTCTTGAATTTATTTTGATAACATTATTTTATATGATCAGAGGCACAGATGCATTGCTTCTTGGTGTTTCTCCCCTAAGAATATTCTCTTTTGGTCTCACTGTGTGTAAATGCTTACAGACCTGTAGAATTTATCATATCCTGGTGTATTTTAGATCTTGCTTCTGCCTATGAAAGAAAACATACACAATTGGTCTCTCTGGGTTTGGCTAACCTCACTTAACGTGATTTATTCTAGGTCCATCCATTTCCCTGCAAATGGACACAATATAATTCTTTCTAATGGTTGTGTAACATTACATTGTATATAGGTACCACATGTTTTGGATTCACTCATCTAATGTAGATCATCTGGGCTGTTTCCATAACTTGGTTATTATGAACAGTGTAGCTATCAACATGTATGTGCAAGTGTCTTTATGGAATCCTAGCTTGTGATGTTCTGGGTAGATGTCCAGGAGTGGTATGGCTAGGTCACAGAGAAGTTCTATGATCAGTTTTTATTGTTTTGAGGTGCCCCATTCTTTTTTTTCTTTTTTTCTCCCCATTCTTTTTTATCCACTAGAGTGACTGCTTTCATGTCCGTGTCACTTAAATCCAAAGTCTACCTTTCAGGTAGAGATGTAGCTCAGTGGTAGAGCACTCGCCTAGCATGGAAAGGTCCTGTGTTTGATCTCCATCAGGCTAAAAATACTAAAAAAGTAAAAATAAAGCCCTGCTCAGATATATATTCTTTGGAGAATGAATCTAATATTCCATGCGAACTACTTCCCTGAACATGCAGTCTTTCCCATATCATCTAGCACTGATTGACAATGTGACAGAAGTTAGTCTTATGACCTCATTCAATCTCCAGTTTTCAACTCAGGATGTGTGGGGACCCCAGAGCCCATGGGAGTTAAACTGGGTGCAGGAAGCATGAGCGGATGGAATGTGTAAAGAAAGCCTGATGTCAGGAAACAATACAATTAAAAAAAAACACCTTATCTTGTGGTTGAGTAAAGGCATAGGGTTCTGAATATTTTGACATTACATGGTAACACTGTCCACAACAAAATGAGTGTCTGCTCTTTAGTGTCTCAATCTTTACTGCTTCCTGAAATCCTATTAGTTTCCCCTTGGAATGCGCCCTCTGATCCGTAACCAAACTGGCCCAAGCTGGGCACTGGTAGCTCACCCTTGTAAACTCAGGAGGCTGAGATCTGAGGACTGTGGTTTGTAGCCAGCCTGAAAAGGAAAGTCTAATTAACCAACAACAACAACAAAAAGCCAGAGATGGAGCTATGGCTCAAGTGTCAGAGCACTAAGCTTGAATGAAACAAACCAAACCAAACAAAAACAAGACCACAGAGATAGCTGTAGGGCCCTGAGTTCAAGCCCCAGGACTGACACAAATGAAAACAAACAAACAAAAGTACCTCAAGCTACCATGTATTCTCTGACCCATTATAAACAGAAGATGGAGGATATTCAGCTCTTTCCTTGGATCCGCCATTAAACTCTGCCTCACTCTATATAGCACATCAATCTGTATCCTGTTGTTATCCATACTGTGTATAAGTAATTCTTTTTCCACCCTCACAGTATCCACAAGGCTGGGGATGACCGAGCAATCCACAGAATTCTTGTGGAAAACAGAAGAAGGATTGAATGTGAATACAGTTTGGTGATGACGTAGCAACAGGATATTTTTGTTTTAAAAGCTTGCTTTCGCTTTGATCAACTGCAGTGGTATGGTAGTATTCTTAATTTTTTTTTTTTTTTTAGAGAAAATGGGTTCTGCACTAATCTAACAGAGAACCCAGGAAACCCATGTCACCCCTTCCCATTCTTGTGGGAGTAAGCTTATACAGGTACTTACCTTCTCTCAGGTCTCGAACTATATTTGGTGACTTTTTCCTCATTGACAAACCATGCACTTCTGCCTCCTCTATGTTCACTCCTGAAGGAATCCTGTCCATTCAAAAGAGTTGACATGGTCAAAGGCCAAGAATACTACAACTGATCAGTCTAGGATTCTATGTTGTATATTTCTGTTGTACACAGTGACCTGCCTTTGTAAATCAAACTGAGTATCCTTTCCTCCATGTAGTGCTGTTTCCTCAATGAATATGCTCCATTTCACTTGTCTACATCAGCTTTGCAATGCTTATTACAGTTCATTATATCTATGGCTTAACTCCCTTCATATTAAAATATCTTCCTAATGGGGCAGGGAAAAGTGATCATGTACATCTTTGTAATTGTACCTTGAATATGGGATGTTCATTAACTAATAACTGAATTGAAATAAACTGTGTCCACATGTAGAAGATAAGTCACACAGATTGTGTCTTATTTTTCAAGCATGCACGTGAGAGTTGGATGTCTTTCAATGTATGTGTATGTACACATACACACACATTGGATAAGAACAAATTACACATGTATGTTCTTAGATCTTGTAATAATCTCATGTCACACAAGGGTTGAATCTTTAAAAGCAACTGGAGGAGTTCATGATTCTAAGTCATTTATGTATCTGTCACTCCTTGTGGTGAAACTCTAAGCAAGTCCCTTTCTTTGACAGATCCTGTTTTCCAGGTTGAAAATGGATAAAATGGACCATTTGATTTCAAATATGCTGTAAGTAGGTGTCATTAAAATGATGTAAATTGACTTGATCATGTTAAAAATGAGTTCTTTTCATTTTTTATTCAGCTAGTGATTCCTAACATTTTAGCTTGCAGAAAATCTTCCTGAACTCACTGAATTTCAAATCAATATAATAAAAGAATTCGTCACCAGAAAGAAACAAAATCTAAACATTGTTTTCTATTAATGTATCAAAAATAGCATCAAGTTCTTCTGGTTCAGAGGTCTCAGAATGATGACGTTCATAGAAAAGATGATCAGACTCCTTCATTTGAGAAAAAAGTGAGACCCAGGAAGAAAGATCATGAAAATAATATAAAAATAATTGGACGAATTGGGACTAGGAATGAGAAATTTTAATTTGGAGCTCAAATTTCTTAATTATGTTTATCCCCCAACTGAAGAAATCCAAGATCTGTATACCATCATCCAACTCACAATCATTTCTTCCTATTAAAATGAAAAAATATGTGATAGGGCACTCACCGATTTTCATCCTGTCGTCCTCCATAGCTGATCCAATAATTCTGTTTTTAGTTAAGAAAAATGCAACTTTATCATTAAAATATCACTTATAAAAATAAAAATGCATTTAAAAGAATCAAGAGACCTAAAATACTTGGAAATATGCATCTTATGTAAAAAAATATATTTTATTTACAAAATGATGAAAAGAAAGACTTTTAAAAGAATAATGCAATTCTGAGAAGTACAAAATGAATTTAAAAGTAGCTTGCAATTAGCCTTCAGTTCCCAAAGCCTACTGGGAATCTGGTGGTAAAAAAAAAAATATTCAAATGTAATTCAATACAACTGATTGAAAAAAAAATGGAATGGAGGGGAAAATATATTAGAGGTGTGAACACTGTGGGTATAAGGGGAGGAGGGGGAGAAGGTGTGTTTGGAGAAAAGATAAAGAAGGTTAAATGACATTGAATTAAACGATTTGCAGCTATTTAAATTGAACAATAAAACCTGTCAGAGATGCCATTTCTTAGAGGGAATGGTACAGGGGGTGTGACAATGAAATCCACCATCCTGTATAACTGAGATAAGCCAATAAAAAACCAAGATAAATAGATTGGAGGTGTTACATTAAGAATATTATCTTATAATAATCTAATTGTCTAAAATGTGCCAGTATAAACATGTCATAAAGACAGTAGAAAAACTGTGGTGAAGATCGACTATACCATAAAAAGTGATTTCATAAATATATATTCAATATTCAATATATCATGGATAGTATATGAGGAAGAGATTCAGTAAGTGATGGTTAAATGGACAACACATATGTCAAGGTCGTTTAAAGGGGAAATAGTTAATGCTATAGGTAAAGGAATATTCTATTGGTCATAAAATTGTTCAAGTTAAAATGACAAAGATTTCTATGTAATGTATGAATAGTACATGTGATTTCTTGCTGTTGACAAGTTAGTGGAAAACTGGTACTATTATTTATTCCTAGGAATGGCAAAGATATCAAAACAATTCTCTCAGAAAAGCAATTTACTCCAAGAACTTTAAACCTCACATCCTTTGATAGCACAGTAATCCCAGTCCTGGGTAGTTATATTAACTCTATAGTTCAATAGAGAGGAAAATGTTTAATGCCTTGCATATGGTTGAAAAGAGAAATAATTCAGACTTCCAGCAATAGGTGAAGAGTTAATTATTGCACATGGGATCTACATATGTAGCTAAAATAATTTAAATATTTGTATGTACATATACGTTGCAGTGGTTCTTAAATAAAAATGAGAACAAAAATCTATCTATACCATTGCACCAGCTCTGCAGATGCAATGTCTTAATATGAACAATATCTGGGAGAAAACTTGAGAAGAGGAGAGACAGCACATGATGAGTTGTAGTTAGTTTTGGCATTCGTATATCCATATAAAGTGTAAAAATTCATTAAGTGTTGGCTCTTGTCTGTAATCCTAGCTACTCAGGAGGTCGGGACTTAAGGATCTTAGTTTGAAGCCAGCTCAGGCAGAAAAGTCCTTAATACCTTATATTTCTAATTAATTAGCAAAAAAGCTAGAAATGGAGCTATAGCTCACATGTTAAGGCACCAGATTTGAGTGAAAAGGCTAAGGTCAGGTCCTGAGTTCAAGCCTTAGTACTGACACACACACATGAAGAAAAGATGTAAAGGGAAAATATGAAAGACTGTATACCAAATAGGGTTGCAAATGTAAGACTTCTACCAAATATATATATATTTTTTGGGTCTCATTGGTCTGGAGATAAAAGACACCTCCCACATTGATTTTTAAGTTAAGGAGGGTTAAATGGGGATGCCAAATTTTAAAAAAAAATAAATGAGAATTTCTCTGAGAAGTTGTTTTACTAAATAAAACAAAAATGACTTCCCTTTCCCACTTTGCACTTACTGGTTCTGTATATAAAAATCCCAGACCTTCTGCAGCTGACTTTATCAGTTCAGATTCCAATTTATGACGTTTCACAAACATCACCAAATCCTTGAGAGAAAAAGAAAGAAAATTTATAGCTTACAGCTAAGACATTTGTATCTTGCAGCTATGAAACATGTGTTCAAATGAAAATATTTTTCACTAGATATTGACTAATGAACTGAAAAATGTCCCTGTGTTAACACCTTTCCACAAGATAGCAGAGAATGAATACAATTTGAAAGAATTAAGTTCTGGAATCTTTATTAATTGTTCAATACATTTTTAGTATATTTTTTGTTGTAAAGATACTGTACAGAGGGGTTACAGTTATGTAAGTAAGGTAATGAGTACATTTCCTATTGAGCATTATTACCTCCTCCTTTGTTTTTCTTTTACCATCCCTTCCCTCCACACCTTACAACTGGTCAACCTGTATCCTTATTTCAGCTTTTTGTTTTCTGAGCACTCAGGAGGCTGAGATCTGTGGACTGTGGTTCCACCACCACCTCCAACAAAATGCTGGAAGCAATGTGGCTCAAGTGGTAAAAGTGAAAGACTTCAGTGACAGCGCCAAGGCCCTGACTTCAAAGCCCTGCTGGGGCTTGAACTCAGAACCTGGGTGCTGTCCCTGAGCCTTTTATACTCAAGGCCACCTCTTAAGCCATAGCACCACTAAAGGCTTTCTGGGTAGTTTATTAAGATAAGAGTCTCACAGGTATGTACACATGTAACATATATGCATATGTATTTGTTTTTTAAATCAGTTCTTCCTAGTGTGCAGAGCAGAATGGACCTGCCTCTGAGAACATTCATCTCACCTCTCTGGCCTCGATGGATGCCGGGTCGATGTTCTCATCCAGCAGACTCTCATAGTAGTCCACATTATCGAGCACATCCTCATCGTCCGGGTGGAACAGAAGATAGGCCTTGGCACACTCCAAGGCCTTCACGTATTCACCAACTGGAAGGCCAAGGAGTTGCACCAATAGTTTCAGATTAGGTCTACCCAGAGATGCCACCTTATCTATTAATGTGAGTAGTAATCATGAAAACAAAACAGTGGGAACATAAGCTGAGGGTGACCAAAGTGAGCAGAAACACTTCCTAAAAGAAGACGGAAACTGATTTCAGGTGTTCACAAAGGAGGACATTTTGTCAGTGTTGGTGTGGGATTTTTGGTGTAAATCATCAGCCATTCTGCCTGAAAATGCTTGTTGGTGGATTTTTTTTTAATCAATTCAGAGAACTGTATGAGTTAATTCTGCTTATTTCTCCCCTACTAACTTTGGATTAAGAAAATATCCTGACCATGACCTTCTAATACTATTTTACACCAATAAAAAAAGTGATTTAAAAATCCTGTTTTCTCTTGCTGTAAAGTTTGTTGTGAAGTAGTACTTTCATGGCAAGTTTTTTTCAGAGTTCCCCAAATAGAGTTCCAATCCCTCACCATTCAACCATAATAGCCAACTACCAAAAGAAGCAATCCAGTTTCAACTAGGCTATCTCTATATTTTCAGTTTTGCTACAGAATTATTTAGCTACTACAAAATGAATATTTATGTATACCTAGCTGTTATGAACAGAATTATAAAAAGTTGTATTTTTCAAATAGGTCATGACACAGATTTTTTTCTTTTTTTTTTTTGGTTGGGTGTGGGGCCTGAACTGTGGGCCTGGGCACTGTCCCTGAGCTCTTTGGCTCAAGGCTGGTGCTCTACCACTTGAGCCACAGCACCACTTCCTGATCTTTCTGCTTATGTGGTGTTGAGGAATCGAACCCAGGGCCTCATGCATGCAAGGCAAGCACTTTACCACTGAGCCACCTTCCCAGCACCCAGAATTTCTTTAAAAAAATTTTTTTCCAATTTTGTGTGTGTGTGTGTGTGTGTGTGTGAGAGAGAGAGAGAGAGAGAGAGAGAGAGAGAGAGAGAGAGAGAGAGGGAGAGAGAGAGAGAGATGACTCTGACTTTTCATAAGTATACTAACAACCCACTCTCAACTTCTTTGCATTCACTGCTCATGACAAGCACATGATATATAATTGCCTTCATTGTCAGGAGAATGAATAATGTTTTACCTTTGGAAAAGGAAAGGACTTGCCAAAGTAGCTTTCATATGTTGGCTAATACTTCTTTCTTATTCTTACTTAAAAAGGGAAGTGGTTTATTTCCTATTGACCTCTGCATAGGACACAGATGCTGGCTGGTGTCAGTGAGAAACAATGAGAAAAGCATAGACCCAGGAATTAAGTGACTTTCAGCAAATCACTTGTGTACACAATAAAGACATAGGACAATGTGACAAAATTAATCTCAACAACCAGAATTCTATTAATTGCTTTCAAGCAGGAGATATGATCCTCATTATCTATTTCTCAATAAGATAAATCTATAGTGAGACATGAATTTTTACCCCATGGTTTGAAGATTCTTTAAACATTTCATAATATATTCTGAAGTTTAGCCACAGAAAATGTAAACCATATGGACAAAAATTTGGCAACATCTCTCAGTAAATCACCAAACCCAGCAATTTCACTCCCGGATATTTATACTATGGATATTTGTGTGCAGATATGCAATGACATACATATAAAATGTTATTCATTTTGAATGTTCATTGCAGAAGCCAAGATAATCAGCAATTAAACTGCTCATTGACAAGAGTACACATATAAATTAGAACAATAAGACAAATGTGAAGAAAAGTGGATGATAATGATCTCTTAATACTAAGTTGAACTGCATAAAATTGTTAAGGTTCATTTTTACCCAAGAAAACAGTAATTTCATAGGTCTAACCTACTTTAAAAAAACTGTCATGTATCAAGTGAAGAAACAGCACAGAGAGGAGAGGGTAGTATAAACTGTGTTGATTTTTATGTAAAAGAAGAGGAAATATATTTCTATGTGTAACTGTTATGTATATATACTGTAATATTTTGTGTGTGTAAATAAGAAACCACTTGGCGGAAACAGGAATGAAGGCTTATACATTGGGACTTTCACCAAAGTGAATTATTCCCATCAAACAAAGTTCAAAAGTTAATTTTACAAGCCATATGGTGTGTCTCTAGTATCATTTGCAGAATATTTATTGTGGTAATAAATTCTGTAGTTTGCCCATTTGTGGTGTTGCCTTCTGCTTTTCTCGTCTAGAGCTACCGTGGGTTGAAATGAAAAAAAAATGAGAAAATGAATTGCATACAACTATATTACCTTGGTGGTAAAGGAAAGAAAAGGCAGGCGACTGAATGACAAACGTGGGCTGTAAACAATGATAAAAAGCAGCCCTCACAGGTCATTGTGGATGACACACTGTTTACCTCTGTAGTAGGCGAACTGTAGGTAATCATAATGCAGGGGAAGAAAGTTCTCAATTGGTGAGAGGCGGCCAGGGCGAGTGGCAAGTTCCCTCACACATTCATGCTGACACACCAGCACCTGCATGTAGTGATCTGGAAGATAAGGGCAGGGGTGAGCCCCCAGGCTGTTCAGGAATACAACTGCCACTGTACCACACTCAAAAACAAACAAACAACAACAAAAACAAAAAAACCCACCTCATTATCATCAATCTCTCCCTGAAAACCTCACACTGACTTGGCACTGTGCCCCGACCTGTGATTACTGGAGTAGCACTAAATCCCACAGGCTTTTGCTCTTGGTCTTTTCTCTTTGTCCCTGTCCCTCTCCTGATTCCCCTTTTTCTACCCTTTCTGACATACCACCACACCTGCACCTAGCTGAACATGGACTTCCTTATCTCATCACTTGTTGGTTACAGTAGAGGGACTGAGCAAGCCTGACTTGAGAATTGTAGGGTTCAGATGAGAACGTGAAGAAACTGTTCAGAGAATGGAATCCCTGTTTACATGGAAGGGTCAGGCAGAGGTGCAAAACTGAAACCTCAAATGCTCCTTTTCCTGGTCAAGAATTTCTGGCTAGTTTTTTCCTAAATGGGAATCTTTCTTTTTAAATAATTGTTTCTTGACAACCTACTCTGTCCAGTTTACATCAGTCCAATACCCGATCACTGCATACTCTAGTACTGGAGACAATTTATTCTTGAACAGGTCTGATAAAGTAAGGAAAGGATGGATGAAAGTTAAAGAATTTGAATAAGAATATATGTCTCTTTTTTCTCCTGGCTCTTCTTTTTCATGGCTCTCGTTCTTCTCACTTGCAGACAGGGAGAAGGCTGTGAAGTGGAAGGATTTTCATGTCCTTTTAGCTCTGTCTAGACTCCATCTCATCAAAGCATGTGCTAAGGAAACACAAGTGGCTAATGTCTCAGGGAAGAAAACAGCTCCTCCCTTTTGCTCAATATTGATTTTTACAATGAACATGGAGGGAGTCTCTTTTAGGGAGAGAATGGTTCATTCATGCTAGGGCCAAGTAGATTCCCTTGAGAAGGCTGAAAAAAAATTGCTGACTCCATGGCTGTACAATTTAATTTACCACCACTGCCTTCTTTCAAGAGGTTCTCTGTGCAGTCAGAGCTCTGCTTGGATCTGCATGATGTTGCAGAGCAATTTTAGGACCCAACAGGAAGAAAAGGTGTATTTTCTGGTGTGTGTATGTGTGTGGGGGGAGAGAGGGGGGAACAGAGGTAATGATCCAGATTCATAAGGCCAAGTTAATCAATCTTACTTAGCCACAGCTAACAGAATCCAAAACCTGGCACTTTGTAAGTCCATGTGGGAGATGCAAGGGGAAGCATGATCTCTATTATTTGATTAACATTTTGCAATTAAACCCTCATTACATTTCATAAGGAATCAACAAACAATCTCAAATTGTTTTGTGCTACCTAACTATTTATATTCCTCTTGATCTTCTAAGACACATTCCACTTGATCCCAAATGCCAAGCCAAAGGGAAAGGTGGACTATATACCTATCAATTTGTCTAAATCTGAGGGGGAAAAAATTCAAAGCAGACTATAAATAGCAACAGATTAAGAGGAACAAAATAATGTCTTTCAGAGCTACATATAAAGAGCCACATTCAGCAGCATTTTGTAGTTTTCAGCAACATTTAAAGTCACTTTTAACTCTAATTTTTAAGTATTATATCTTTCTCATGCATTCTGTATCTTAAATGCTGTTCTCCTAATTTAGAACATTTTGAACCTGTAAGAATTTGCATAGTGAGATATGGGACACTTTTTGTTAGTTGTATTCCTTGCTTGCTTTTCAGCTCAAATGTCTTTGGGCAATCAATACACTTTTCTTTTGTTAGTCGTGGGGCTTGAACTGTGGGCCTGGGCGTTGTCCCTCAGCAGTTCAGCTCAAGGCGAGTGCTCTACCACTGAGCCATAGCGTCACTTACAGTTTTCTGGTGGTTTACTGGAGATAGAGTCTCATGGACTTTTCTGCCTGGGCTGGCTTTGAACTATGATCTTCAGATCTCAACCTCCTGAGTAGCCCGGATTGTAGGTATGAGCCACTGACACCCGACTTAATACACTTTTAATCAGTTTGAGATCCAAGACACTTCTGTGGGAAGATATATTTTTTTTTAATTTCCTTCCTATTACAAGTTGGAGACATTTCAGATTTCCAAGAAGCTTTACATATTTCTTTAATTGGTAATATTCGGTTTGGACTTAGCAATTATGACTTTTTTAAAAAGCAATTTTCTCTTTCATTGAAAGCTGTGATGATGACAATGGAGATGGTAGTGGTGTGTTAAAAAATTAAAGAATCTAGCCAAGTGCCAGTGGCTCACTCCTGTAATCCTAGCTACTGAGGAAAGGATTGTAGTTTCCCCAGCCCAGTCAGGAAAGTCCACAAGATTCTTATGTCCAATAAAACTACTACTAAAACAAAAAGGCCAGAAGTGGAAATGGGCTAAGTGGTAGAGTGCTAGCCTTGAGTTCAACCCCAGAATCAACACACACACACACACACACGTGTGTGCACATGTGTACTCTCATATACACACAAAGAAATAGAGAGAGAGAGAGAGGCAAGAAAGAAAAAAGAAAGAGGAAGGAAGGAAGGAAGAAAGGAAGAAAACCTACTTTGGAGGTATAGCACAAGTGGTAGAGCACATGTCTAACAAATCCAAGACCCTGAGTTCAAACCCTAATACCTCCAAGAAAATAATGATGATGTTACTGATAACAATAAACCTAGAATATTCCCAAGTTTTCTAGCAACGCAATGTGCTACCGTGACCTTGACCATCATTTGTGGAAAACATCCAGTTAGTTTCCTACAATGGATCTGGATCAGTTGCCAGAATTGTTCCATAGACATTCATGGAGGCAGTATGTAGGGGTAATGTGACACTGAAGGAAGAGCCTATGTTCCCCCAAAATGACAACATAGTAAACTATGAAAGAAGAGGCCAGACCATTTCCAAATGATTAAATACAGAGAATCTTTTGGTCACTGAGTTTAGGCACTGAGGACCGAGCACTGAGAGACAGTATTGTAGCCATGTGATACACAAAAAGATGTTTAGGTTTGCAAGGAGAAGAGTATGGCATCTCCAAGGAATTAAATTAAGGGAAGAAGATATGCATCAAAGAGAAAGAAAGGGGGAGAGAATGAGATCTTACATGTGAACATCAGCAATGATTTTGGGTTTTTCCTAAGAGGAATCTAACCTAGGAGGGAAAGTAGTTATGTAGCTCTGTGAGTATAGAGTTTTAGCTCTGTCTGTTAAGAATCAAACATAGATTCTATACTATGAGCAGCAATGGGGTGGTCACAGTAGTTCAGCTATAAGATGATGCAAGTTTGTAGGAAAAAAGATGAGAGCCTGGAATTCTAAATTGGGGTTAGGAGGTAGTAGTGTTTAGTTTGTTAACAACAAATCAGATGGGACTAGAAACTTACGAAGAATGAAAGATAATTTCCTTGGATTGGATTAGAGATTACTGTATAAATTTGTTTTAGGGAACTAGAAAATGGAAGAAATTGGGAAAGTAAGTTGACTCCAGTAACATGTCTTGGCTGAGAAAGTTGATGTAAGGAACATTGGTGTTAGTAGTTGCGAGCTGTTGAGAAGTATCCTGATTTTCTTGACATGTGTTGACTTTAATTTTTTTAAAGTTTCGTTTAGCCCTTTTGGACAAGTGTGTGTTATTTACTTTATGGTTCTCATCTGATCCTTGCACTGTTTTATTATTTTATTGTTGGATGGGTTGACATAACATCATTACTAAAATCTGGCATCTCTGAGATGTTTGATGTCATTATAAGCAGGAAGCTTAAAGCAGAAGTAGATGTGAACTTGGGACTTCAAACTAGATGAATAATAACTATTACAGTGTATGGAAGTAGAAATATAAAGAAAGTGCTAATAACGTGTGTTTCATAGTGTTTGTAACTTACTCCATGCCATTGCTGTCTAGTCCTTGTCCTTAGAGGTATCTCTTGGTTCACATTTTTTATTAAAAACATTTATATTAAGGTTTGTCAAAAATGTTGGAAACAGGGAAAAATTAATTGACTCCAATAATTTGCATTTCAATTGAATATTATTTTTAGTATATGTATATCCAGGAACAACATATTGATAGAATAAATTCCCTCTGTTATCTTTCCAGTTTCTATAGATCTGTAAGGACACAGAGATACACATCTGTGGGAAAACCCTGATAGACAAGATCCTTCCTAATAAGCTGAACCCTGTGACACCATCAAAAACGTGAAAGCCAAACCCTAAGTTAAGGAGGGCATCCTCAGATGACCAGCATCCTTTGGTATTTGTAGGCAAAGAGTCAGGAGATAGATTCACTCATTATGACTACAGCAACCAGTGCAGCACATCCTGCATTTTGGTTTGACCTATTGAGTGTCATCATCAAGCTCGCCCAGAAACACAACGGTTGCTCTCAAGTTCCATGCTGTCAACTGAGCAAATATTGTGCCCATACCAACAGACTCTCTGCCAGGAAGGTCAAACAAGATCCTTCCATGGGCTCCTCCTTCACACACAGGGAAACTCCTACCCCAGCCTTGTAGCCCAGCAGATTCAATAAAGCTTCCTTTTCATTCACTGGAGCAGACATAGAAAAAGCCAATAAGAAAGGTAGATACCAAAGTATCTATCTACAAAGTTGCTTAGAGTGTTAAAAGAAATACAAATATGTAAAATGCTTTGTTTCTTCTAATTGTTCCATACAGGCAATTATTACTACTAATAACTAAAATACATTTTAGTTAATGATTATATTTAGTTAATGATTATTAGCAAGCTCCTTTTACATGGAAGTTATTAAGTATGCAAAACATTTTCAATATTTTTCATGTGTCTTTTGTAAATCAGTTTAGTTTATCATATAAGTTAATTTATATGTGTCTCATATAAAGTCTTTCTCTTCAGTTCTTTGCTATGTCTAGAAGACACTTTCTTCTCCTAATATTATACAAATACCTTCCTAATTTTCTTTTTTACTCTTCACACCTCCATTGTTAGTGCAAGCAGATTTTTTTTTGTATATGGAATACAGCAGAGAACTCACTTCCTTCCATAAATGACAAAAAACCTAACCCCTCTAATACTATATAATGTATATTACCTACTGTTTTAAAATACTATTTGTATACTTAGTAAACCACTCTTCTACACAATTGTAGAAGACTAGCCCAATGTGTTCGCTACTATATTGCTCACAATAATGAAAAATTGCAATAAAGTGAATAATTATCCATAAAAGACTGATCAAGCTGGATGCTGGTGGCTCAGACCTGTAATCCTAGCTACTCCTAGCTGAGACATTAGGATCAAGGTTCCAAGCAAGCCCACACAGGAAAGTCTATAAGACTGTTATCTCCAATAAATTATTCAGAAAAAGCCAGAAGTCACACTGTGGGTCAGATGGTAGAGAGCTAGTCTTGAGCACAAAGAAACTGGGACAGTGCCCAGGACTGACAAAACAACAACAACAAAAAAGACTAGATTATCAGAATAAACTATGATGTACTCACAAAATAGTATTACATAAAACATGGTAAATTTCCATCTACTTACACGAGAAGTCCATATTTTGTGATGCATTAAATACAATAAAACAAAAAATGTTGTAATATAGTAAATGTTGTAATATAGTAAAATATAGTAAATATAGTAAAATATAGTAAAAATGTTGTAATATAGTAAAATGTTGCTTATAATAATTTCCTTGTCTTATAAAAATAAAACTATTATAAATAGACATATCAATGCCTATGAATGAATTTGACAATTTTTGAATATGGTCATCAATATTACCCAAATTTATCAAGAAATAGAATGGGATAAGCATACCAAAGTCTTTCACATGTTTATATGCATTCCTCTAATGGAAGAATATTTTTTGCGACACAGGTGCACAGACTTGTTAATAGGAACATACACAGTGAGGAAAAATAAGCTTTACCTGCAATGGCTTCATACAGACCAGCTTTATACCGTAAGTAGTCATACTCCTCAAATCTCTGAGGTCCCTCACAGAGAGTTCGACATTCCACATCTTCACTGAAATATTCTCTTAATGCCTGTTCAAAGTACTTGATAGCCACTTCAAAGTCATCAGCCTCATAATGTTTCACTCCTGCACTGTAGCTCTCCTTCAAAGAAACAGAAAAGAAAGTATTTGTAAAGAGCAGCCGTAGGCAGCTTTGGGATCACTTAGGAAGCTGGGATGTGTAAATCCTCTGCTACAGAATGATGAAGTTTTGCATGGGGCCACAAATTGGAATTCCCCAGAGCTTACCTAACTGCACGTGAGAGGGGCCGTACTGAACCCATGAACTGCAATGTCACCTATGATTCATTTTCCTCCCACAGACACAGAAACTGTATATTCTAATCTTCTTGCTACTAGGTAGGCCCATAGACAAGTAAGTGCAAAAGAGCAGATCTGTATGGAAATGACACCTACTTCCAGGAATTACCAAATTCCAACTAAAATCATTTTCTATCTCTTTCTTTTCCTGTTTCTTGGTTGTTTGGGGGAAGTGTTGGGGTTATAGATATCATTATAATCTAGGCTTTTGTGTATACTGATTTTCCAAGTTAATTCCATTTCTTTTTTTAAAAATGTTTATTTTATTGTAAGGAGGCTGTACAGGGGGCTGCAGTTACATGGGTAAGGTAATACTCATTATTTCTTCTCCATTTTTAAAACTTTGATTTCAGTGTTTTAAAAACTTTAATTTAAAAGCAATCGCCATTCTTTCATATTTTTTAACCCTGATAATTACAATAGTTCATTTGAAATCTCTGAAGGTTTAATCATTACCGAAAATTGAGAATTGATTTGAAATACCCACTCATAGGAATATGCTTTGGATCAGATAAAACACTGAGCATTCGGTTCCACGTGAACTCACAAGGTGTGGTTTGGCTTCTCGATCTACCAACTGGAAGTCTTCCACTCCAGCCATTGTTCGGTAATTCTCAATGTTCTGCTGAATTTCCATGTGTTCAGGGTTGGCCATGAAAAATGTATGGGCGGCTTCCACTGCCTTTTCCAACTGGTTAAGCTATGAAGACAAGGAAAAAGAGAGAATGAATATACTGCCCTGTAAACTTGATCAATCCAAGGTCACATGGCTTGAAAGTGGTAAGGCCAAGAGCCAGTGCAGATTTACTACACACACACACACACACACACACACACACACCACTCACACACACACAGACATACTCACACATACTCACAGACTATCACATTTTATTTGCACCAGTACATACATATGTGTGATTTCTACTATATAGTATTCTACCTCCACAATTTAGTACCAGGAGGTTAATATGTGTTTTTGAAATTAAACATGCATTTTTGTATTATGTTTCAAGTTATTTGCTGCTTTCACTTTTCTTTCTTTTTTATTTTAAGGATACTCTACAGAGGGGTTACAGTTACATGAGTAAGGTAATGAGTACATTTCCTCTTGAGCATTGTTATCCCCTCCTTTGTTTTTCCCTAACCATCTCTTCCCTTACTTCCTACCCAACTCCTTCCTTCCCCCCATCCCCCCAAAGTCGTAAAGTTCACTTTTAACATAGTGTCTTGTACATCTCATTGTTACAATGTGTCAGCCTGTATCCTTGTTTCAGCATTTTGTTATTTCCCTTCTCCTCCCCAAATTAGAAAAATGTTTATATAAGATGCAGGGTACTGAAATCAAATACAGTGAAAACAGGGGTTATATCATGGGGGAAGAACATATAAAAGAAATAAAAGAAATCACATGGTACATTATAAGCATATTAAAAACAATAGCAACAAAGATAAAACCTCTTATGTTTCTATCTTGGGATTCATTTTGCTTAGCAGCATCTTATATGGTCATATGTGCGTAGTTTTTGACCTTTTCTACTTGTCTGGTAAGAGTATCCTAGATGTACACTAGTTATTGCAAATAATGGAAACCATGGGACCCATATTTCTTTGGGTCTGGCTTACTTCACTTAGTATACTTTTTTCTAAGTCTTTCCATTTCCTAACAAATGGGGTGGTGCCATTCTTCCTGATGGAGGCATAGAATTCCATTGTGTATATATATATACCACATTTTCTTGATCCATTCATCTACTGAGGGGCATCTGGGTTGGTTCCATATTTTGCTATGGAGAATAATGCTGCAATAAACAGAGTTGTGCTGGTAGCTTTAGTAAGAAATGCAAATCAAAACAACATTGAGATTCTACCTCACCCCAGAATGGTTATAATCAAGAAATCTAATAACAACAGATGCTGGAGGGGATGTGGCCAAAACGGAACCTTACTGCATTGTTCGTGAGAGTGTAAACTTGTTCAAGCACTTTGGAAAGCAGTATGGAGGTTCCTCAAAAGACTACACATAGAGCAATCCCATTTTGGGGCATTTACCCAAAGGATCACAAACAAGGCCATGCTTCCTTCACTTTTCTAAGACATCTATGTCTTCTAGGAAATTGAATCTAAAACTTATGTTGGCTTTATGACTAATCAAAGCTACAAACTGCCAGGATTATTCAGTTCCAATTCACATTTTCTGTAATTTTTGTCTTATTTACAAGCATATATTATATGTACAAGCAAGTATATATTGCTGTTCTTTTTGTTCATTTTGCCATTAATCCTGAAAATAGTACAAACATACTGCTGATGTTTTAAGTGATAAATTTGGATCAGAAGTGTGGAATATTTGGCCTAAGGGTCATGTAAGGCCAGTGAACTCATTTAGTGCAACACATATGCTTCTATGAGTCTCATTCGCTGTCTGTGGCCATCTGCCTGTATTGATAATTTTATATGGCCTACAAATAATGTGATAAATACTCAAATTGGTCTTGACAGAAAAAAATGTTATTTATGCCTACTTGTAAATTAGTCCAATGATAAAAGATGCCCAATTCATGTAATTCTCATTAATGCAAATGGAAGGATTTTTAAAAATGTAATCACGATCAGATATTTCCTAAAACCACTTAGCACCATTATTTACAAATAAAAGCAATGAGGTATTTTAAACAAAATAGAATTGAATTAGCTTAATTTATAACATCAGTGTGTGTGTGTGTGTGTGTGTGTGTGTGTGTGTGCGTGTGTGTGTGTACATGCACACGTATGCTCGTGCCAATATACTGGGTCTTGAACTCAGAGTCTGGACACTGCTCCTTAGTTGTTTTTCTCAAGACCAGTATTCTATCATTTGAGACACCTCTATTTCTGATATTTTGGTGGTTAATAGGCAACAAAAGTTTCAGGGATTATTTTTTTTGCCCTAGCTGGCTTTGTGATTCTCCTGAGTGACTACTATTACAGGATTGAGCCACTAGTCGCCTCCAATGTTTTTGAATTTAGGCTTTCATATTAAAAAAAAAAATTTAGACATTCAAGGGGATAGTCTATGGAAAGATCCATTTATCTCCTATCAGAAAAACAAAATGAAACAAATATTCACTTTAGTAATTTTTTTTCATGGCTAAACACAAAATATATTTGATCTAGATTTTAAACATGAAAACCCACTGCTATTGAGCAAGTAATGATAAAATTTCAGGGTACATATAATATTCAATTAGTCTTCCTATCTTAAGAACTTACGATTTTAAAATACGTGGATTTTTAAGTCCTCAGTCATTGCAGTCTGGTGACATATAAAGAACCAGTTCTCATCATAGATAATACACATTACTCAATTCACAATCAAGTAACCTTAATTTCATTTAATAGCAATTACGTTATGTTCCCATTTAATCTTCATGTCCTTAACAATGGACCTCCCCCTTCTATTAAACCTTGCCTGAAGCCAGCTTTCCCATTATCCATTATCCTTACTCCTATGTACCAGGTACATCCAAATATTATTTGGATACCTGCATAGTAACAAATGTATGGGTGCAGAAAATAAAAAGATTGTGTTCGCAATTGTGTGTGAGTGTGTACACATTTTGGCCAAGTAAATCTGGGGGAAAAAAACCTAAATATTTCTGCTTTATTCTCTTTGAAACACAAAAGGCTCATAAAACTTCTTATCACCATCAACTAAATAGGATTTTGGAAAATATATAATTATGCATTATATGTGACTGTGCTTCAGAAATACTAAAGCACTCAGAAATCACAATAATATGCAATTTATAAATGATCTATGTACCTCAATGATATGAATTTACTCCCATTAGTGAGGTGTAGAAAGTATGGTTGCTAGGAGCAGATAATTTGTGAGGATAGATATGTATGATGAAACAGTTTTATCTTTATGTTCATTTTCCTGATTGTCTGCCTTGGCTGAAGCTCTTCCACTAATTCAGAGAAACCTGGTGTCTGTTATCACTTCTTATTGATATGTAACTGATTTACCTTTTTTTTCTACCTAGTTTACATATAAATTAAGTCTTGGTAAACAGGAAAAAATGTTAGAACCTTTTAAATGCAAATAGACTAAAAGCATATAGAATGACAATGTGCCTCATAAACCATACAACACTGAAGGCTATAAATCTAATAAAAAATAAATCTTTGAAGACATCATTCACAATGAAAGTTAAAGGTACTGGTTATCACAGACCAATATGATATGGTGGTGTTCAAAATCTAATGTTGATGAAACTAGTTTCCTGTCTAAAATTTGAGCACATTGGCTTTCTGCTGATTTGGGGATTTCCTTCTTGACAATTCAGTACGCAACATAATACTAAACTTCCCATATAAATATAAAGGAGATTCTGTGACCTCCCATTGAACCATAAGACAGAGCTGGCTCTGGATTTTTAATTAGTCTCTAAAATTAGATAATTATTTTGACTGGAAGACTGATATATTTGTATTTCCTTGAGAAACTAAATTCACACACCTGACCTTGATGAGAAATTCCGTGTGTACCCGTATATACGTTGTAATATATTATTAAATAAAGATCATCATAAGGCCATGGGTGTACTAGGGCTCAACAAATGATGGAATCATCCATTACTGCACTGACACATGCCAAAAGCAAACTGAATTTCAAGGCACCTAACTGGAGTTCCCTTCTTACATAAGTAAAACAAACCCACAGGAAAAGTGACTCTAATATGAGATTGATACTATTCAGTACAGAATTAATTGTAAAACTGTCAAGCAAGGTGGAATGATTTGACATGAAGATTCGATCAGACGTTTAAGGGAGGCACAGCCCCCGGAGATGCGAGAAATATAGTAAGAAACACCTTCGCAAGGCTCTGTGCTATCTCAGTCAGGCTATCAAGATTGAAGGCAGCCCAGACGTACAACTGTATGTCGCAGTCTTGCTGCATGGAAAAAGAAAGGAATACTGACTAAATTAATACCTTGCTAACATTGATAAATAATAGTGTCGTGAACCACAGAGGGAATAGAGCAGGCATATCCAAACACACATTGGCTACTCAAATATTTTCAGGAGCCATCCAGTGACCACAGAAGAGATTGCACATGCTGCAACAGGATAGCCACGGAGTTCAGAATGGAGATGGGCTACATGTACTGAGCATGCACAAGGCCCTGGGTTCAGTGTCTAGCACAAAACAGAACAATATTTAAAAAGAAGACCTCAAGAATTAGGCTACAATCATTCCAGTGTGACTCCTCAGATCAGTCAGTAAGTCAATTTTTTCCAGTTGAACTTAATTTAGATACATTTTTAATTTACTATTTTATTGAAGAACACATACAAGTCCAGTAACCCAGCCATATTCAAATTCTTATTCACATATTCAATGAACATCTATTTTGCATAAACTCTATTCTAGACTCTGAGATAAATTATTTGGTCAAAACAAAGGCCTGCTTCCTAGATTACCATCAGAGGAGAAAAATCTCAAATAGTAATCAGTGAAACTAATTTCTGATTATGCCAAGTGCTATGAAAGAATAAATGAAGAAACATGACTTTTAGTTTGGGCAGCAAAGGAAGATTCCTTTGGATACGTTAGTCAAGGAAGATCTCTCGCTGTTTTAGAGCTTAGAATCAAAACTTGAGAAACCAGTCATAAACTTAAGAGGAGAAAGAGCTTTTCAGGCAAAATAAAG